GAAGGCAGTCATTGACATGGGGACTGTTGAAAACTCAGGGGAACAGTTGGGCTTCCATTAAAATCACCTTTCATGAAAACTAATCGGGTAGGCTGCACATGCTCTGCTGACTTACAGGGTGCGTGAGTACATCAGGCTTTCTCCGCTTCATTATTTCGTATTTTTCGAATCATAATCGAGAACCTGATACCCTGACTCTGGTTTCTTCCGAATTTCCTGCTGTTTACTCCACTTTATACGATTCTCTTACAGAGAAATGTTCGGTATTTTGTTCCAAGTGTCGAAATCTGTGTGCTCGATCGTTTCGCACGTTCGAGATCTTCCGTGGAAGGTGCTTCCTCAGAACACATAACAAAAGTTTGCATTCACGCATTAATATGCGTTTAATCAAATATCCTACTCGAATTTTTCAGCTTTAGAAAATTCTCGTTATTTTCGCAGATTGCGAACGTGACCATTGGTAAGTGTCGTCCGACGTCTGTAAGCGAGAGATGGAAAGGTGAGAAGGGATTAAAAGAGAAGTAAGGAAAATTTCTGGACTCTCGTTTTCTGGAAGAACGCGAGATTCGCGGATCTCTGTTTCTCGACGAAGCTACCGATTCGAGTATCCAGAGACGAAAAGCAACGATGGTGGGAGGCCAGACGTGGCGATCGGTTCGAACAATACCCATTGTCCAGCATATCATTTTCACGATTTTCCATCGGTCGACTTTCAACCGAGGAAGACTTCGTTCGGAGCTACCGATGAATATCGTTCCTCGATTTTCACTACCGCTACGATACCAGCACCTTCTCGTTTCTCTTTGGTAGACCGCTCGAGCGGATGAAACGAACACAATGCCTTTTGTTTCTCATCCTCAACGCTTATCGACGCGGAGATTCGTCATCCTCGAAGAATGGATTTTTTTATAAGGTTTCCAATCTTCTTTTTCGTTAACAAAAATCTATTTTACAAAGAGTACGTGCAATCTATCTGATTGTACTCGGATTTCTTGTCGATTCCTTCAACTCCCTTCCCACGTCGAGTTCTCGCTATAACACGTCGATTCGTGATATAATATTTCGATAACGGTACAAAGATATTTTTCCGAAGTTTCCAGCTAACCAGTTTTTTCGTCGAGTTAATCAAATTCGGAATCGCGTTAAATTTAAGAAATCCCTACTAGGCCGGTCATATCGGATAATATTGTTTCCAAGCAATGCATAAAATACTGTAAACTTGCTTTTTTTTTTTTATTGAAAGTGCGCCCAGATAGTATAAATCTAGATTCGCAACCCTTGGAAACGCGAGCCAGCCGAGTTAAACCTGACAAAACCGCGAAATTTTTCGCACTCTTTTCAGCAACGTTCGGTGTTTAAAATGTCAGACGAATTTCATTAGGTGTCACACGTGACTTTCTATACGCATTCCATTAAATTTTCCTAATAGATTATACGTACCTTTTGTAAAATAAATTTTTTTTTTTTAAGGAAAAAGAAGATTGGAATTTACTTGGCCCGTGACATAGAGAAACTTTCTTTTAACCGAATTTTAATAATTTAGGGATGTACTGCGATAAGGAGTCAGCTCCATTATCTTATGATTTTAAAGTTAGAAGATAATCACGGATTTGAAAAATTCCATTTTCTCGCGGTGCAAATAAGGAGACAGACCGGTCACTAGAAAAACTGACGATGTCGATCAGATAGGGACAGAACAGGAACAAGAGCGAATTGTACACTAATTTTACGATCTTTTGTATTTTGCATTTATCGTTTGTGTTGGCAAATATTTTAAGAATAAAATGAACATGTGTTTGAAAGTGAAAAAAATCACTTTTTCGGAGGACGCAATAAGGAACCCGAAACGACATCGTTCCATAATTAGGTACCTATGCTATGCCAGGAAAAAGAAAAAGAAAGAAAATTTCAAAGATATGAATTTTGAAACGTTTTTCTTGATTTCCCAAGAATTTAAAAAAATGCGGCTGGCTCCTCGATGCGCGCCCCTCGATTCGTATCGCTACAAATTCCGTGTTTGTACTTGTTTGTGATACAAACGTGGAAAAATAGATTCGAGAATAATTTCAAAGATATGAATTTTGAAGCGTTTTTCTTGATTTCCCAAGAATTCAAAAAAACGCGGCTGGCTCCTTCTCGATGCGTGCCCCTCGATTCGTATCGCTACGAATTCCGTGTTTGTACTTGTTTGTGATACAAACGTGGAAAAATAGATTCATAAGGACGTTTATTGTAATATCTGATTTATCTTCCTGTTCGAATTGTCCTCGGGTCAATCGAAAAATTATTTCGTAGAGAAAGGGTAAAAATGAAAGGTCGACTTGAACTGTGCCACTAATGCTAAGATCGTACAAATTTATTTCGAGTAGGTACATGGAAAAAAGAAAAGTAAAGCTGTTTCTTAAAGGAAAAGAAACAGCGAAGCATCGGTTTTTCTCTAAAACTCCGGAGTGACGGGTAATCATAATTTCGACAGAGTCGGTAGTATTCGGAGATTGAGATATATAATAAGCCCGAGGCTGCGTTCACATCACAGAGAGACAGTCCGATACGAGTGAGTAGGTACATTATATAAACGGAATACCTACCCCAACCTATGCCAACCTACTCGTTCATTGGCATCAAACCAACTACTACTACTACTAGCATCATTGCCACCACTACTCGCCCTCTTATTGCGTGACTCTATCCTTGAAAGGTATTTCCACTACCTACTGGGTGATTCTACTCTCGTACTATTTACAATTGTTACGACTAATTGTAAATATCCTTGCTATTTTATATTCTAAATATTTAAAATTACAAGCTGCGAAGATATCTTGATCTCACCTTCTAAATTTTAAGAAAATTCCCAGCGACAAACGATACTTCGACGATTAAATACATTTATCGAATTCAAACGTTGGAGTAAACAAGATTAAGTTTGTATAATATATTCCTTGTTATTATACGACATTAATTTAATAATTAACAGTTATACAAGGATAAAGAAACGAAGTAACGCGTGAATTTTCGAAACTTTTAACGAATACGTTAAACTGTGTTGTTTAATTATAAACTATTAGATTCGTTATCGTTATAAATTATTAATTAGTCGACGTGACTTTTACTAACGATTGGAGAACGATTTCGAGGCTTGTCACCCGTTAGATAAGCCTACAGATATACTGATGCGACAAAGAATTGATACGTTCCTTTCGTAAACGTCTCTCTTTTTTTCCTTCTCTTTCTCCTTTTCGAGCAAGAGTACCGATGGACCGACAATGGAGCACATCTGTAGGTACCACGAAACAATGGCTACCGAGATTGTGGAACCTATTGCGGATAGTATTCCATAATATACCCTGTTGTTTCCGCTCCCTTGGATAGAACTAGCAGCACGCTCGATGAAAATATATGGCCCCCTTTCGAAGGTCTATCCAGACTGACACTACCACTGGTCGTTATTTCTCCTGTGAATTTGCTGGTTCTCTGTTTTCGGCCGTATTGCTGCATTGTTACAATTTGTTCGTAAGTTTAGCGAGTAATTACTTGAAATTTCATTTCAAATTAAAACGACGTTCTTATCGAAATACGTAAAAGGTAGGCGAGATGTATGACTTTTTAAGAGTACAGTTTTAAGAGTACGTTTATCACGAGTACAGTTTATCGAAAAAAGTAGTTAGCTCTTATTGAAACGGTATTTAAGAGCGCGATTAAAAGATACAATTTTCTAATCATTCTTCGTCCGTACATTTTATAAGCGACGGACAGTCAATAACTGCAAATGAAAGGTGCCTCGATGATTGACACGAGATCTCTTTGTAAATTCTCTTGGAATAAAAAGAAATCGAAGCGTTTCTTAAAAATTATATTTGTAACTCTTTTATTCTCATTGCTTGAACATACAATTTCCCGCTTTGGTTTACTTTAAAACAAGTTAAATCGGGAATAATTTTAAAAAGAATTTTTGTTTTTGCCAAGTCGCAACTCAATCAGGATATGTTTTGTTTCGTGCGGGGTTCTAAGTCGCGAAGGAACAGTAAGATCAACGTAGAAATTTCGATACGTACCGATAATGTGCCCCTTGTATTAGGCAACCTATATTAACAGGTATGTCGGGCTAGTTGCCTGTCCGTAGGCGCAGCGATGCCACCTGGTATCCGGCAACCGCTACTAACGATTTTATCATTTCGGTTGTCATCGCGATTTCACACTATTACCTTAGATAAAATAAAACTTCAAAAACTAATTGTAACCTTAACGCGTATCAATTCCTACTTTTATGTATTAAAAATCAATCAAATAATAATTCAAGTATTTTACTATAGTAAATATATCTTTATTAATACTTTCTGTGTTTATGTCTTGTTTTGAGTAGTACAGTATATATTAATCTATGTAAAAAAAATAAGATAGAACTGAACATATAAACAGTAAGTCTGGAGAATCTTATACGCTTTCTTAATGAGTAAATGTAATATACATAAATGTATCTTTGCTATCTAACATTTGTACTTAACAATAATTTAAATTCGAATATAACTTAGTCGGATAATGTCACGGAACACTAATTTCCAGTGGTGACACGACGCTTCGTCTATAAAAAAAATCCTCGCTCTGCAATCTAGAGGCAATGGTGGAAATTAATTTATCCCTAGCACAAGTCGCGTAGTTGTCCGCTCACCGCTCACTCTCCTAGTGACTTCTAGTAATATCGATCACGAATCGTCATCAGTCGTGTTGTCTCAGTGGAATGCACGCATTGATGTATCCGTGTGACTAGTTTATGTATTTATTGTAGCAGCATTGTATATTGTCACATGTATGTATGCATTTCCATTTTTACAATGAATCAAAATGTTATCTCTGATTGAATAACGTAGTCTTATAATATTTTTATCAATTTTCTGATATCTTTCTGTTATTTTGAAGAAGATAATTTAATATATCATAATATGAGGTTATGTTTATGTTTAAACTAATAGAGAATATTTACATTGTTAGAAACATTGAGAATTTATATCGGTTATGGGATCAGCACAATTGTAACAAGGTTTCTGATGAATTACAAAATATAAAAAAGAAGAAGATTGTGATACATAAATGCAAATTGCAAAACAAAGTTCTATCTTAATGAAGAGTTCATTGCTCTTGTCTCCAGATCGAAAGACTTGGTTCTTACAGATAAGAACTCATCTTAATAGGTAAGTGTATAATTCAGTTCATACAATTTCAGTTGTAAGGTTTTATTATATATAAGTAAAATTAAATTTCTGTTCAAAATAGAAATATATATGATATAATATAAATCTCTTTACAAGCAGTATATCATTTCTGATACTATGTACTATTTTAAACTTTGTACAAATAAAAATATGAAACAAACGTAATATTTGATTTTCAATCATTTTCAATCATGTTTTCTCATTATTAATTTATGATAATTATATTGCATCGATGTTTGTATTCTTTTCAAAAGCCAAATATTTGTGTTTAATAGGTAATAGAATATTGAACTTCATAGAAGCTGTATTAGGTATAATAAGTGGAATTCATATTATTGGATTCTTAGTATATCATTTTGAAGATATTTGAAGGAATAAGTTCCATATTAAAATGAAAAAGACAAGCAACAAGGGTCAAACATACACTTCCAGCCAAGAAGATAGTGAAAATGATAGCGATGAAACTGAATGTAGTATTGGTAGTAATTCAACAGCTGGTACTCATCGTAGTGATACACCTACACGCAGTGCTCGTTGTAGAAGGAAAGGACGACGTAGAAGTAAAACTGCAAAGTATAAATCATGTACAGACAAACCTCTGTATAAATATTGTTGTAGTGTAAAAGAAGATCATGGACAACCGCTGTTTGGAGTACAGTTTAACCATCATTTGAAAGAAGGTGAACCATTAATATTTGCTTCTGTGGGGAGCAATCGTGTTAGCATTTATGAATGTCCAGAGGGAGGTAATATTAGGTTACGTCAGTGCTATGCAGATCCTGATCCAGAAGAAAATTTTTATACTTGTACTTGGACTTACGATGACTCTGGAAAACCTTTACTGGCTGTAGCAGGATCACGTGGTGTTGTAAGGGTTATCAGTCCTGTAACTATGACTTGCATTAAGCATTATATTGGACATGGACATGCAATAAATGAACTAAAAATTCATCCTAAAGATCCAAATATATTACTCTCAGCATCAAAAGATCATGCACTGAGATTATGGAATATAAAAACTGATGTATGTATAGCAATTTTTGGTGGAGTTGAAGGTCACAGGGATGAAGTTTTAAGTGCTGATTTTGACATGAAAGGAGAACGCATCATTTCGTGTGGTATGGATCATGCTTTGAAGTTATGGTCATTAGATAAACAAGATATGCAAGAAGCAATAAAGCAATCTTATCATTGCAATCCTAGTCGTAATGGAAGGCCTTTTGATTCTATACTTCAGCATTTTCCAGATTTTACAACACGAGATGTGCATCGTAATTATGTTGATTGTGTTAAATGGTACGGTGACTTTATTTTAAGTAAATCTTGTGAAAATTGTATCGTGTGTTGGAAACCAGGACGTCTTGAAGATTCTCAACTACGTAATGGAGAAACTAGTGCCACTGTTTTACATCGGTTCGAATTCAAAGAATGCGATATATGGTTTATACGATTTTCGATGGATTTTTGGCAACGTACAATAGCTTTAGGTAATCAAGTGGGCAAGACTTATGTATGGGACTTAGAAGTCGATGAACCTGGACAAGCTCGCTGTTATTCCCTTCAGCATCCTAGATGTACTGTACCTATACGTCAAACTAGTTTAAGTAGAGATGGCTCAGTATTATTATGTGTTTGTGATGATGCTACTGTATGGAGATGGAATCGTGAACATTAACGTTTATGTAATACATGAAATGGTGCCTTTATATTCACAGAATGTACTGTATTTATTAGCTCTCAATATACAGAATCATTTTACTATCAACATTGAATAGTAGACTTCTTACAAAATATTTGTAAGTAAATTGTAATTCTAATTCATATTAATTTATGAAAAAATGAAAATTTTTATGTTTATAAATATTATTACCGATACAGTTTGTTATTCATAAGAATGAGGAAATAATCTTTTTACATATGAAATTATAATTGCAAGAATTGTAAAATGAGATTAAACGTAAATAATTATAATTACAGAAACAATATATGTGTATTTATTTCGCAATATATTTTTTAAAGTTGTATAATAATATCCATTTCACGAAATAAATTTATTATAACTAAATTGTTACATTTGAGTAATGATATTACTTAATGTTATAATTCGAGACTTTTGTCCAGGGGGGAAACTTTTGTTAGGAAATTTTTTACAATTACTTTCCTTATATAAATTAGAATATTACTATAATACAGTAGACTTTCGATAATCCGGTATGCTCGGGACTTCGGCAGTGCCAAATATAGTAAAAATATTAATATAGTAATTCAATTTATTAACAAAAGTAAAATGCATACATGTATAAAGTAAAATATATAGAATAGAAAATTTGCAAATAATGTATAAATGATATTTAATTTCTGCGTCTATTTCATTGTCTTATTTCATCATCATTCATAATCACGTATCTATATTAGGTAACAAGCAATTACATTTCTAATTATCTGTGCAATTAATTGAAACATTATTTGAAATTAACTTTAACTTTAATTGTTGAAGACAAATTCCAACTGAAATGAACCTTTAATTTTATTTAAAATTAGTTTTCAATTGGAATTAAATTTAATTGTCATGCAAAAGTGAGGACCAATTGTCAAAGCTTGATTATGGTCGACTTTTGTGTGCTGGATTATTGGTATTTTACTGAAACTGTATGTAAAAATAACTATTTACTAAATTATTACAGTGGAAAATAGTATTACACTACATTTATGATTGAGAAATAATTTATTTAAATCTTAAGGCAATATTAATCAATCCTTTTATTATAATTGCAAATACGTTCATCACACAGTTTATTCTACTCATTTAAAACTTTTGACATTCGTGCTTAAAAAAATTTTATATTTTGCACATCTGTAGTAGATGGTAAAAAAAAATTAAGAAGCAAAACATTTTTATTCCTATCAAATTTATGCGTTGCGTGAATAACTATTTAATAATGTTTGTTACATTTATATATGTATAGTAATAATATTGAATAGCTATATATCTATACAAATTTTGAACTTAAAAAAAAAACTTTATTGTTATGCCCTAATACCTACACAAAAATGTATTTGTAATCATTTCTATTTATGAAATTGAATATCTTTCTAATATACTTTGCAGTTAATATTTTATCTTACTCTGAATCAATTTCAAATCTTTAGGTAGTAAAGTATTTACTACAAATTGTATATTATTTTTACAATAATTCCATTCTTTAATCATTAATTTATGCATTTTTGTTTTATGATTTATAATGATACATGAAAGTGCATACACTAAGTCTATAACGAAAATGTCATAGGAAGTAATAGTGGGAGACAAGAATTATTCCTTAAAGTTGTATACTATTCTCCATAAACAAAAAGTCAAAAGTCTTTTTATACAAAATACACAATTATTAAAAAAATTGAATATTTATACATTTGAAATATAATATTCTTTCAAAATATTTAATAAGCAAGTGCCAAAGAGTGATTTAAATATAAATTTAAAACGTATTACAAAGAAACTTTGATTTTATGCGTAATTACTCAACATCGAATTAACAACAACTGCGCTTCTCTTTGCTTCTTTAGAATCTTCACCTTGTCGTTGTACATCCTGTTGTCCTCTGATTCTAATATTATGTTTCTCTTTAAATTCATTTATTTCAACTCCTTTCTTTGTTAATTGGTCATTTAAAGCATCTATAACTTTTATCAGCTATAAATCACAAAATGTATTATATACTAACACAATTCTATATAGTTTTATTTTCATCTAATAAAATATAAAATAAACTTTACTTGTTCTTTGTTTGTCACCAATGCAGGCATTACATCTTCCACAGTACGTTCACATAAAACACCTCCTGTCATTCTGTAACACTTCCTCTTTGGGTCTATATTTTTTAACGTATCGATTACAATCCTAAATCACCAAATATACATTTTATTTCATTACAAGAATATCATATTTTCAATTCAATAAATATTAATCTTAAAGTGCATAGTGTAAAATATTATTTGTTAAACAATTAGATTACATTTCTCTGTTTAGTAAGAATTATATTATAATTTATTTAATGCAAGTTCGCCAAAATGACTTATTACTTCTTTAAAATATTAAACAAAATATGATGTTTATACGAAAATATATAAATGATCATAGCAGGTTAGAAAACTCATACTTGTGTTCATTCAGTTCTATCTCCATTTCTGACAGTTTGTTAGCCATCGTTCTTTGCTCATTGCGAAGTATTTGGAATTCAGATAGTATTTCTGCATTGGATTTCGAACCTTTTGAAGATTTTCCTGACTTTTTATCGCTAGCCATGTTAGGAACTCTGCATTACTTTTCACTGCGTACGCGAAATTCACTACAATTCACTGATTCTCACACCGGCCTTTCTAGATTCTACTGAAGATCGATGTTTATGGAACGGAATGCTTGGAAATATAATTTTAGGGAATTATTGTTTGGTCAGGAACTAGCTTTAGGACTATGGACCACCACGGATTTGCACGGATTGCCAAGGACATAGGAATATATAGGGTGTCCCAAAAATGGTGGAGCGTTAGTGTCGCTCCTTTACGTGTCATTGAGCTCACAATCTGTGTAAGTTTATTCTATGGTCTAAGCGTCCGGCAAAATTTGAACTCCATATCACTTCATATTTGACAGTTACGAACGTTATGGAACAGACCGTCAGTTTGCTGCATGATCGAACAGAAATCACAGAATCGAACATAAACAGATCCGAAGATATCACCATGGAAGTTGACAAACGGTAAATAATCATTTTGAAAAAATTATTAAAGAATTATTCAAAATGATTTAAGCCGGGTATTATTAATATATATGAAAGCCGTACTTTTGCGTTTTTATGATACGAAAAGGTGGTGTTCGCGCTTTCTTTTTTAATTTCAACCGGTTGGGACTTTTTCAATATCTTTTTTCTTTTGTTATCTAGTAAACTAATTCTTCTAATTTCTCAAAAATATTCAAGACATTTAGACAATTCCCAATTGCAAGAAAAGGAATTGCATCTTAAAAGGTGTCTGAATACTTTTTCGAAAATTTCGAAATTATTGTTTAATTATTACTGTTTCTTTTACTTAAATTTATGTTTGTAGATGCCGCAAAGTATGTGCTATTTTGGGCTGCCGAAGTAACAAAAAGAGAATGTTTCAGTTCCCCTGTCCGGTGAAGGATAACGACAGGTACATGCAATGGATTACAGCTTGCAGAAGGGAGGATTTTCTTCGCCTTTCACCCAAGAAGGTGAGGACAAAAGTGGTGTGTGACCTCCACTTTGAAGATCGATACCGCTTTCCAACCAAACTTACAAGAGACGCAATACCAACCTGCAACTTACCAGGTAATAATTGATTACACACTTTTTAAAATATATTTAACAAATTTGTAATGAAAATATTGAATAAATTCTATTAACACCAATTAGAACCTGCTGCACTTGTAGAGCCACAGGAAGAAACCGTAATAGAAATTACAGAAGAAGAAGAACGTAAGATTTTGATCTCTATACGTATGATAAAACAATATATAAGCATAATGGTAATACAGTACATACAAATGATAAGACTTCAAACGGTGGCTCGCGCAACAATTACGAATAAAGACGAAATAACTGAAAAGATTCATCTTAACAGACAATAAATTATGTTTATTTACAAACAGAATTCAAGTCCAAATTTTTGTGAAAATATTTGCTTTATACAAATTTATTTTTTGTTAAATCTATAAAGTTTTATTATTTTGTTAGTAATAAAGGTAGTCTAACATGTTTTTAGTATTGTGTAAAAATATCATCAACCTTAAAATAAAATTGACCGAAATATACACTTTTGCTACTTATTATTTTGCGAAGGAAATACGGTTAAATCCATTGTTAATACTTTGCTTTGCAAGCACTCGCCAACCTGTAATTTAGAGAATAAGATATTAACAAATTTAAAAATACATGAAACAAAAAATATGTATAAACATGAACATACATCAGGAGAAATTCCAATTAATGCATCAGCATGCGAATAAAATTCTTCCTTCAAAGATATGACAATAGTTTGTAAGGAGCTTGTTTTATTGCGTATGTAACTTGCAACTTTTCCGATATTAGTATTATCTAAGGCAGCATCGATTTCATCCAAGACAAAGAATGGTGCAGGTTGAAAACTGCAATTATAATAAAATTAGGTTATAACTTGAATATAATGAAAACAATAAAGGACAAAAATAATATATACATAATTACCTATGAATTGCAAACAATAGAGCTAACGCTGCAACTGTTTTTTCTCCTCCAGATAGATTAGACATTGGCTGAAATCGTTTCCCTGGTGCTACACAATTGTAGTTAATACCATCCAAATAAGGTTCTTCTGGATTTTCAGGGCCAAGAAATGCTTGAGCGGATTGATTTTTTGCTAAACTCTGATATATTGTAAATTTTCATATATTATTTTAACTTCTGTTTGCAATGTATGTATAGATTGTCTATTTAAATATAAATATAAACTGACCTTATAAATGGGATCAATTTCGTTAGCTACGTGCTCGAAACAAGCCATAAATCTGTCGTGTCTTTCCTTCTTTATCTTCTCGAATTGTGTTTTTGCCTTCTTTGCTTTCTTACGAGATTGTTCAAATTCTTCGTTAGTCTCTTGTAATTTTTCTTTTGCAAGATGTAATTTTTGAATTGCCTAAACAAAATTATACATGTCTCGTTATTATTATTCATTTATAAGTTAAGAACCTTACAAAATTATACCTTACCTTCATATTGGGGGCTTGAATGCGTTGAATAGTACCTTGCAAATCATTAATCATCTTCGTTAGTTTATCATACGTTTTTTTAACATATTCTTCGTCTAAATCTTTTAAATTAACACTAAGAAGCTCATAATCTATGGTAATTTGTCTTTCACGTTCGTATTGTTGCAGGGTACTTGATGATAAATCGTTATTGCTTTCTGAGCTATTAGTTGTGGATTCGCGAGCTATATCTTCCATATTTCCATGGATCATCGGAATTGCGATATCTTCCATCTAAATATTATTTTGTATGTATATAGTAGTGTATGTCTATTTTAAAAATTACAACTCTATACAAAATCAACTAATTTTATTCTTGTTTATGCTATACCTTGCACTGCATTAAAATAGCATGTCGTTCGGCTCTCATTTGTTCAATTTTCGATTCGATACCATTCATTTGTTTTTGAGCAGCTTGTATAGTTTTTACAATTGCTCCAAGATCACGCCTAGCTTTACCTATTTCGTCTTCTTTTTGATCAACTTCCATTTTCTTTGCATTTCGTTCTGTTTTCAGTTGTTCCATTTGAGTCTCATCATTATCAATTTCTGCCTTTTGTTTCGATTCCGTTTGTCGTGCAGTTTCAAGTTTATCTTCTGCATCTTGAACAGCACGTTCCCAGCGTAAAACGTTATCTAATAAATGATACATATTATTTAGCTGTCATATCACTAAAATAAGTAATTAAATCATACTAAACAACACATTTGTTTTCTGTATTCACTCACTCTCCGTATCACGTTGTCTTTCAAAATCTAATTGATTGTAAATACGATTACACTGATTTTCAAATTCCATTCTCTTCTTTGCTCTTTCTTGTTGCGAACTAAAATATGATTTTGTATACATATACATGTTATCATGGATCACTTGAAAAATGATTTACACGATTTATAAAAATATAATTATTGCAGCACATCTTTGATTAGCATTCTTAGCATTACGATTCACACATACATACCGTAATTCCCTTTCTTCGTATTGACGAATATTAGATACGCCTATTTGTTCACAAAAGCTAGCGAATACATCGTCCTCGACATTATTCATTTTTTCTTTGATATTCTGTATTTCTTGATCTCTTTCTGCCATTGTTGTTTCAATCGCAGTTATTGTTGGCTAAACAGAAAATTTTAATTAATGTTAGCATACCGTTTAATTGAAATCCAATAGAGATAACAAAAATCCGATAAAAGATATAAGTCTATACTTACACCAAACATATTCAATTCATTTTGAAGAGATTCTAATTTTACTTCAAGTTCTGCAATTTGCTTTTGCTGTAATAAATATAATTTAATCTTTTAATGTTCATACAAAAATATTAATATATAATATTTTACTTACAGTGGCAACTAAATCGCTTTTACTATATTTTAAACGTGTTTCTAAACCACGTATTTGAGATTCAACTGTATTTAATTCTGATTCTTTCCGTGATTTTTTCAAAGATTCCCGTAGTTCTTCCGTTAATTTTTCCTATAAAGAATTTTGGATTTATTATACGGCTTACATTTATGTGAAAAATAAATCATACATGAAATAGACATAATTTACTTTTTCTGCCTTAAGTTGTGACATCTGTTTTTCATCCCATCTTTTTGCTTTCTTTGCCAAATCCAAACTGCCACCGGATATAATTCCACCTTTTTGATAAAATGTTCCATCCAATGCAACACACTGCAATTTCATGTATATATTATATCTTTTTAATTACACGATTTAAGAAAATTTACTTATACGTACATCATATCTTGCTTTTTTATCTATCTCATAGGCGACTTTGTTTGCATCTTCAGGTGTTTCACATACGAGAGCATTATTTGTAGCAAATAAGACGGCCCTGTCGATATCTTTAGGCGAGAAATGTAAAACATCGTACAATAATTTTACGTTCTTGGGGTCTTGTATGTTCCTGAAAGCAACACATTTTATGGTATATTTATGTTTATAATTATTTATACTTAACATACCTCAGTCTTTCTTTCAGTGGTTTCGCTTGAATATAGTCAAGTGGAAGGAATGTTTCTGGTTCGAGATACTGTTCTTTTAAATACTGGATACATTGTCTCGCTGTTTTTTCAGTATCCACAACAATTGCTTCCATATATTTGCCAAGAACTTTAGTGATGGCAACATTGTATCTCTTATGGATAGGTTGACACATATTGTACATGCGATCGAACTAAAGAGAAAAATAATAATTATACTACTAATTATATCTTCAAACCTATAAGAAAGATCACTTACAGAAATTGGAATAAATATTTTTAAAAAATGTATCACTTACCACGCCAGGGAACAGACGTTTAAAATTTTCGACAATTTCAGTTTTCTTTTTTATTCTTGATACTTCATGTTTATCAACTTTAGCATCGCCAAGTTGTTCGGAAATATTTTCTAATTCTCTTTGAATAGTCTGTATTCTGTCTTTCGAAGTACGGACATCGGACTGTAAATCAGCTCTTAATTTTTTCTGATCTTCTAACGCGGCTTCGGATGTTCGTATGTGTTCTTCTAGCTTTTCTACTCTTTTAAGAGCTTCATCCCGCTCGTGTCCTCTTTGTTTATGTTTATTTTCTATTTCAGTCTTCTTTCTTCCCTCATTATCAAGCCTGTCTTGATCGGATTTTTGTTCGCGATTAATTGAATCAAGGAGTTGCAGGTATCTTGCTGATTGCTTGCCTGCTTCTTCCTTCAAGCGATTGTATTCTTTAACCTGAAATTAATTTTCCAGTGACTGTTATTTTATGTATAATTTCAATAGAGTAGCTTTATACCTGTTCATCTTCCAATTGTACGTCTCTACCCTGCGATTGTGACTGTCCAGCTATACTTGCTTCGTAAGCTGCCTTAGCTTCCTCAACTTGTCGCAATTCTTCTTGAAGTTCATGTATATCTTTCTTGTGAGCTTCGTCTGCCGTGCGCGCTTGTGCTAACGATTTTCGTGCAGATTCGACTTTCTTTTGCATATGTGCAACTCGTTCTTTGGCTTTAATAAACGTGGGTCTTTTCTTTGTAATTTCAGCTTCTACTTCCCGGATATCTTGTTCTATTTTAGCAAGATCACGTGCTAATTTACTAGATTCCTTTTTTCTTTCTTTTAATAATTCCTCGGCTTTCTCTTTTTTCTTTTCAATTTTTTCTATTTCATGTTGTTTTTTCTTTTGTAACACTTCTAAATCTTCTATAGATTTTTCATTATGAAATAAACGGAACAATTGCAACTCAACTTGTTTTTCAACCTATAAGGAGACAAATAATTAATTTATATACAAATTGTATATAATAAGGTGAATGTATAAGTAATATTTACATATTCTTCCTTCAATCGTTGATATTTTTCGGCTTCTTCTTTCTCTAATTTTGCTTCTTTTCTTTCTGCAGCAATTCCCTTCTTCTTTTGATATGAAAATTGCGTTTCTTCCTCTGCCTTAAGCATTTCTGTCCTTAATCTGTAATATAAAATCTCACATATTATAGACAAATGTGATATAAAACTCAACTTGTGCAAAAATTGTATCACTTGTACAGGGTGTCCTAAAAACACCTTGTATAAGATAAAAACTGACTGTACATATTATACTAAAAAATTACCGTTCATATTCTGCTTTCAACACCCCAGAATTACTGATTTCTTCAAAGAGTGCAGTACGTTCTTTTGGGTTTTTCATAGCTATCGATTCAACAGCTCCTTGGAATACTAAAAAGTTTTTTGCTTTGACATTAATACCTAGCAGTTCTAACTCATTTAGGTATACTTGGTTGGTAACAACCTATACATGAAAGGTAAAAGCTGTTAAAATATTCTACTTATGAATAGTTAAATAAATCAATTCTTATTGAAAATTATGTAAAACTAACATTATTATTTATTCTGTATTCTGAGGATGAGCTTTGTACAGAACGCATAAAACTTTTTTCTCTGCCATCTTCTAATTCGAAAACTGCTTTGACAGATGCACTGTAATTCATATAAATTTCAAATTTATTAAACATTTATAACAATGTTAACAAAAAGTATAGTGACTTAAAACTGCAATATCTTTAAATTCCAAATTTCTTGGTAACTGACATATAAATTTATGTATTTATGGTCTAATGTAAGAAACAAGAAATACCTGCATGCGACTGGCATTTCTATTGATGCACCATGAATCAGCTCGTTTAATCTCTTTACACGCAAACTGCTTGTTTTTTCTCCCATGACGAAACTGATTGCATCCATGCAATTCGACTTTCCTGAATTAAAGGAATTCATTTAATACATCAATCATCTCCAATTATTTTATAAACTTTAGCGTCAGTGTTTGGTTTGGTATAAATTATGGGGATGAAATGTTATAAAATGATGTGTCCAATAGTAAGACATTTGTCTATATTATATTGATGTATTATAGAATGTAAAGAAGCTTTACAGTCAAAGACCAAAAGCCCCGAAGAAAGGTCATTGTACTTCTATAGAATAAATGTGACATTATGAAACTTTAAGTGAATGTAACTTTTAACCTAAACATGATAGAGAATAGGGGTTTGTGACATTGTTTTTCTAATAAATTATATTAAATAATAACACAGTCAGATTACTATGCCACGGAAATCATAACCGTGTCAACATAACCTACCAGAGCCATTAGGACCAACAACTGCTGTAAACGGTTTAAGAGGTCCTATAATGAGTTTTCCTTTGTATGATTTAAAATTGTCCACTTCGATATATTTCAGTGAAGCTGGCATTTTGAAGATAACTAAATAAATTCACGAGTGGTCATAAGTAATAGCAAACTAAAATACTTGGCGGTTACGACTGTATGGACTGTTACGAGTAAGCAGTTGTGCGCAAGCGCTACAGTCAATGGGCGACAGGAGTGGGGGAAAGGCGGGAATTTGAAATTTTGATGTCCCAAAAATGTTATAACACCTTGAAAGGGGTGGTTCGGGAGGTGATTTGAAAGAACTTTTTCCTTAGCAAAAATATTGTACAAGGCTTCGTTTTGGAGATATTAACGGAAAACACTGACCAATCAGAGCACGCGTATACCGTTGGAGCGCCCGCGATAGCATATGAGTGCGGCCACTTATCGCGTAGCCTACGCTCATCCGGGATACTCGCGTTCTGATTGGTCGGGGTTTTCGCTTAATATCTCCTTAACAAAACCTCAGACAACATTTTCGCTAAGGAAAAAGTTGTTTCAAATCACCTCCTGAACCACCTCTTTCAAGGTGTTACAACATTTTTGGGACACCCTGTATATACCGGCCCTGCATAGAGTGTACAGTATTTTGAATAATCTTTTACTTACTCACGTAAATTTGTTATCATTGCACACATGTTTTGGTGTATTTAACACCATTTGTAACTTTGTAACTATATAATATAATTTAGTTGTTTTCGAACAAATATCGTAGTATTCGTAGCATGTATTAGAATTTTTGCTATAGTTTAGTGAATTAAAGAGATTAGATTATAATAGAGATTATAATATCTTTGAAATTAAATATAGATAGCTACAGCCCCTAAGAGCTAATATCGTCCATATCATCATAATTTTATTGAATATACTAGACACAGTCATAAACTAGACATCGTTTCATTGTAAGGTTTCATACCAGTGCCGTAATTATTTAACTTAATATACACAGTAGTTAGGATGCATCAGGTAGCATAATCTGGTATGATTCGTGCATGCTGTGAGGTCCGTGGCGCCAACAAATGTGAGTCGCACAGTACGGCATGTTAGAATTAAAAGGTTTTTTCATTTTGACGGTACAATTGATTTCCATTGCAAGTACAACCGGCTCGATAGGAGACAGATCGCAATTTTACAATTTATGCCTTGCTAAATGTCGTGACAGCAATTGTGATAGCGGTACGTATTCTCTGTAATGTATTGGATAAATACATTACAAATATGATAATTTACAAATTAAAGAAAATGATTATTTTGAATGTTTAATGTAGACTTTTAAAACTTTCATTTTTGTTAGACTGATAATAATTTATCATATAATATCAACAATAAAATTTAATTTATTCCAATTATTTATATGCTATTATGTAATTTTATAAAGTATTTAATATTAATATTATTTATTAATATTTTATAGATGGAGGCTTTAAAGTACAACCATCTGTACCAATGAGACTTCTACGCTGGTCTTGTAAAGAAGACTGTAGTTATGGATGTATCTGGGAGACAGTTAATTATTTCATTTCTCATGGTTTAAATATTCCTCAGTTTCATGGAAAAGTATGATAGCTGCCTGTGACTATGTGTATATAGTAAAATTATAATGACTAATATATTACTATAGGAATTATTCCCCAATTTTTATTTCAGTGGCCGTTTGTTCGTTTCTTTGGATGTCAGGAACCTGCATCTGTAATGTTTTCTTTATTAAACTTTTATTGTCATGTTAACATGTATTGGAAATTTAAGAGAAAATTAAGACCTAATGTTCCCATGTTTTATATATGGACTTACTTTAGTATGGTATATTTCTTTTTTATTGTATTAATAATATAGTGATTAACTTATGAATAATACGTTTTAAAATACTAAACATTTTAATTTTAGATATGCATACATGGCTGGTTTTGGTCTTCTATTTTTCATGCACGAGACACTCCATTTACAGAAGTAATGGATTATTCTAGTGCATTTATTATGGTCCTTACATTACTGTATTGTATGCTATTAAGGTAATTGATAATCCTGACGAGTAAAACAGAATTCGAAACAAAAATTTAAAATATGATTATTTAATTTTTTAATTTCAGAATAACGTACGACAGTAATAAAATGTTTGCTGTGATCACATGCGGGTATCTTAGTACTTTATATACGCATTTATCTCATTTATGGTCTGGTTATATTAATTATGACTATAATATGAAATTCAATGTAGCTATAGGTAATTTTATATAACATTTGCGTTTTTGTCTTCTCTATAGAAAACAACTCTTGCACTAGATACTGAAATTATATTAAATATAAAATACTTGCAGGACTTTTAACATTTGTCATAACAATGATATGGTGGCATCGTAATCGTAAAAAATTACCTTATATTCACTTGATTGGATGGTTTAACATATTAACTGTTCTTGTTACCATATTAGAAGTAGCAGATTTTGCACCAATATTTTGGATATTTGATGCTCATTCTTTGTGGCATGCTAGTACAGCTCCTCTTACAATTTTATTATACAGGTATGTCTAATTGTTAAAATCATGTTACACATTGATGTTATTTTCAATGGGACATACTTATTCATGTACTTTCAGATTCATGATGGCAGATTGTGCTCATTTGCAGACACACTATAGTAAATTGACATTAGACATTGATCACCACATACGATAAATTAGCAGTATTATTAATTCCTACACATTTTTTCAGTACCACTTACGATGTAAACATTTATTTTTATACAGATTATTTGATGCACTATTCATTTGTTCATTTGTAGATAAAAAATGTATTACTTACATGTATTTGAAAAATAATAGAACAAATTTTAATTTTAGTTTGAAGTATTTATTAATCATGTTTGTAAAATAATATTTTTATTAAATGTTAAGTTTATTCTACAAAATAAATCTGTGTTCCATAAATACATAATTAATATTTATTCAGAATAAGCAGTGCATAGTGTATAACGAACCTCTGTTTGTTATTTATAAAAGTATATATAATTTATCAAAACATACACAATTCTAAAAACTTTCATGTAAATACTGTATAGTTTGCAACTTTTTGCATATAACAAATTATATAAATTTAAATTAAATAAAGTATAATATATAACATTACATTACGTTTAAAATTGTGAAATAGAATTAAGAGATATTTGAATTACATAATTTGTACCCTACTTTTCATTTTCTCCTCTTATACCCCTATTCTTTATTCTCTAATTTACAGAAGATATTAACAAATTGTTAAATATATTTTTTTTATTTTACTTCTTATTTTTTCATTTATATTTTACAGGGCAGTGCTAATCTTTACTGATAATGAAATAGAAATTACCAACTGATATGACGTAAATTATATCGTTAAGTTAACAAAATAATTAATTTTGCTTACATTTCATTATATGGATATGATACTATCAATGAGATATGTAAAAGTTAAAAAAATGCAATAAATTATGTTGAGTTGAGCATCTGATATCAAATATAGAATGATTTGAAAATTCAAGATTTCTTGTTTTATAACTGATGCTTAAAGTGATTGTTTTCTTTTTTATGTAACACTATGTTTACTATTCAATATGTCAGAATATATAAATACTTTAAGGAATGTGTTTTATTGTAAAAAAGTAATACACGTCAGTCTATATATCATACTTAAATCATTGATAGATTGATGAGTTAATAACTTTTAAGTACCTGTGTATAGATCGTAAATACGTTTGTGACTTAATATGCTTTAAATATATACATAATGCTATGATTAATAAGATTATACTTATTAATAATGTAAAGGCACGTTTATATTTAAACAAAGTACATATATACTTTACCTTGTAAATTTGTGCGTTTGTATGAATGTATAAATTAAATAGTGTTATTGTCAAGAAGCATTTCTTTGTTATGTTGAATTTTTAATCATTTTAATACATTAAGTATTTTAAATTAATAAAATATAATAATAAAAATATATAAAGCTGCATCAGTGAAAGCCTCTAATAAAAATGTATTTGCAAGATGGTATAACTGAATGTATTGTGTGTATATGCAAGAATATCGTATAATGACAAAATTAACAATGGCACAAAAATATACATGACAATAGTCATGTCTGAGAATGTAAATATGAACGGAAGATCATGAGATGATGAGTATGCATGATATATTAATAAAGTTCATAAAAATTTCGCACCTTTTTTTTTTAAAAAATAGTATATCTATAAATAAATCAATATATCATGATATCGATTTCAAACCTCTTGCATTAGCTGCTTCAATGTTGCATCGTATATCTCTTAACTTTGAGCGCAGTTATCTATCGTTATCTTTCATTGTAAGTACTCTAAACGTAAGTAATCATGAAAGTTCACGAAGAAATGGTTTAAGTAAAAATGCATAACAAATAGTTCTTCATAACGATCGTTTACATAACGCTTCACTTTCTGGATTGTCATCTTTGTGCTTCTCGAGGTTTCCGGACAAAGTGGGATCTGGCCGTCGTCTTTTGAAGAATCCAAGTTTTCTGAGAACTAATGTAAGTAAAATAAATAAGATCAAACCTGCTACCACAGCCACTATGTATACCCAAATTGGCACAGGTTCAGCATCTTGTAGATCAAGAAGATGTGGATATACAATCATCTCAGCCTGCATATTAAAATATTACTATACAAGTTTATACAAAACATGAAAGTAATAACCTAAATTCATAACACCAAAAATACTTGCATTTGCATGATCATCTTTCAAATTTTCTTGTTGTATTGTAACATTTTGTGGAATAATTATTTCTGCATTAGAAGCTATGTGTACCTGATCCACTTTCGGGTAGTCTTCTACAAGAGTAGAATTCCATAACCTGAAATATGTTAAAATATTTTTAACGCAACAAATTATTGAAGTTAAAATTAAAATAAAAAATTAGACTTGTAACAACAACGGTATATGTCTGCCTTCATGTACAATATCAAATATTACCTTGCTTTAACAGTTATGACTGCTTCTTGTTTCCTTTGTAAGTTGAATATAAAGCATGTAATGTTAAAGCATTTTGCAGTCCCTGCTTTACAATTCTATAATAAAATTAATTATAGCAATTTTAAGTAGTTCAGTTTAAATTACACGAATAATCACTTACCATCGAAACTACTTGTCGTCTATGACCATCCTTATCAGTAATAATATGCGTGTTAAGAACTTTTTCTGTGTCTCTCCTTGTTCTTACGTGATTGATATAACTGTGTAATGTAGGAGGCGTAGATACTACAGATGAAGAAACATCCATATCATCATCGTTAGCACTGTCTTGTAGCTTCAATGGATTAAGTACATGCTCTGGTAGTGGCATACATTCGCCATGTCCAAAAGCTGGAAACAAAATTATAAATGAGTGGGAACTTGTTTTACTACATACACATTTTATGGCAATAAATAATGTTACGTATCAAAAATGAAATCTCACGTTCAACAGTTGGTAACTCTTCTAAGTACAACAGCCATTTTCCATGGGCCTTATCATTTGCAACCTCGTAAGGCCATGAAATGCGAATTTCTAAGTTACTTACTCTCCATGGACCTTCATTAAATACTTCGTAAATATGCGAAACTTTAGGTCCTACTTCACTTAAGTGTTTTACAGCTGATTCACCTATAATTGGTCCACCATAAAACGTCGATTGAATTTTTGCATTCCTATAAGTTTAAAAATTTGTGTAAGATTATTAATTTGATTTTGCAGTTATTTATAAGTTTTATTTTATGGTACGATTTAAACTGTATATCACCCTTTAATTGATAATTCTGCCCGTTTTAGTACCGTTGCTCGCAATTTTGTAGGTTCTTTCTCTTTTACTTCTTTCGAAGTAGAATTTGCAAATATCACAAATCCTAATTGCGACTCGTTGTCTTCCAATTCCTTGGGATCAAACCGTATTTGTATATTTACCATTTTATCTTTCTTAAATGGGTTTCCAATAGAACAAGCTACTATGGTGGTGTTATGTAAATTACAAATTACAGAATCATTACTTTTACTAGCAATGTAATTCAAGCTTTGAGAATGAACGATGAACAGTTGAGCTTCATATGCTGATTCTCCAATGTTAGATACATTTACATCCACCACAACTTCTTCTCTTTCACCCAACAGAAGTTCATAGAAATTTGGTTTCACAGAAGAAGCTTAAAATGAAATATATATTAATTTTCTTAAATCAAATTATTATATAACTATTAACAGATTTAATGTTCACGATATTAATGTTTCTATTTTATTAAAGAACATACCTGATAAATTTAATCGAGCCTTTACTTGTAGATCACTTTCACAAATATCGTTATTGCCACAATCTTTTTGGAAGGTTGCTTCAAACACACGTGCAGCTTCTTGTTGATTCAATATAGGATAATTCTTTATATCGGGTAAAGGTTTTCCTTCAGCAGGCATAATTGGCTCTTCTTGTATTAGAGAATAATTTAAACGAAATTTAATAGGTGACTGAATGTCACGCGTATTTTCCTGAAAAAAATTCAATATTCATCAATTTAAATCCATTTGGAATGTATATAAAATATATTCATGGTTGATATTTCATAGTAAAGAATAATATTAAAGTTTTGTGAAATATTGCTTCTAATATATGATAATTACCTTTAAGTAAACTATTTCTCTCTGACAATGTTCAAACTTTTTCGAATCTAAAGTAACTGTACGATTCACATAATGCGGTCGTACATTACCAGTGTCAAACCAAACTCTGGAGAATTTTTTAACTCCAGTATAAGTTTCAGCTTCGATATAATAATTCAATTTCAAATTTTGCATATCTTCCTCCTTTACGAGTGATTCCGTTTTACAACAAGCTTCGAACGAAAAGCTGTAATAAATTATCTGTAGTTACATGACTACAGATCATTAGACACTAAACTTTGATTTAAGATCTCAGTAAGTTATACTTGCCATGTGTGATTTGAATAAGGGTCTTCTGTACATCCAACTCTATTGGGATCAATAGGTTCTATTTTTTCTTGATATGTGCCATCTTTTTTTAAATAGCGAATATAAGTAGTGATGTCAATAATTTTTCTTGAACGAAGAAGTGCTACAGCATCACTTTCATAAGCTCCTACTAATAAATCTGAATATCCATTTTGATCCATATCAATTCCTCCACTCAACGAGTAACCAAATGTTTGCAATGGTTCTGGCATATCATCTGCATGTATTACCTAAAAAGTGATAAATCGCAGCTATATCAAAAATTCGTTATAATGATATTAAATAAAATAACACGAATAATACTTGTGATGGCACTGTAATTATTCCATTTTTAGAACCAAGATATATATATACAGCTCCTTTATTTTCGTAAGGTGCTCCAATGGCAATATCTTCGTATCCATCTTTATTTAAATCTCCCAAATTTGTCAATGCAAATCCAAATCTACAATTAAATTGTGTACTTCTTGATATGTCAATGAAAATATACATATACATACTTATAAAACGCACCTGGATTCTCCACGCCCGACAAGTTTAACAGGTTTACCTTTTTCCATAGTTATAAGTTTTACACTTTTATTATCCTTATATAATTTCTGTAACTGTGTGTATACATATACAGCACCTCCTTCTGCTTTGTTGAAATAAAATGGTGCTGCCACAATAAGATCAGCAATTCTAAAAGAAATAAAATTAAGTATGTCATATAAATTATTAACGTGATACCGTTTTGCCTTTTTATTTATAAAAATTGTTTATCTCTTCGTTAAATTGAAGATGTTTTAAATGAAAAAAGAAATGAATATTAATTAATATATGGCATAAAATATATAATGTTTAAGAATATATATAAAATACTATACTTGTCTCCATTGACATCTGCAGAAGTAATTTCATATCCGAAACTCGAAGCGAATTGTTCACCACCCAGAGTCAATGCAACTTCCATGTTTGGTTTAGTGTCGTGTTTTATAAGTAAAATGACCTGACCAGTACCATTTGAGCGTGGTGCTCCAGCACCATAAGCTAATCCATTACCAAAAAAGTTTCCCACAGTAACAGACATTCCTATAAAATAAACTTTTATTTTAACTGTTGCCAAACCATTTAGCATGTTAATTATATTTTTAATATTTCAGCATAATAATGCAATACATCATTATATATAATAACTAAAAGACAGAGTACTTGCCTAGATAGCTATATTTACTGACAGGATAAGCATCTTGCATTGGAGGACTATAAACTGTGTTATCTCTAGTTAAAAATTCATCTGAAATCGTAAGAATGTATAGAGTTCCTCGCCAAGTGTGAGGACCTGGTGTACCAATAACAACACGATCTTCTGAAGTAAGTACACCACTAGTTCCAGCTTGACAATAACCAAATTGTTCGTGTGCTCTAAAACAGAGACACAGCTTTACATTTACTCATATAAAATAAAACATAACACAAACACTAAAATTTTTATATTACTTGTTCGTTGGTTTTCCAGAACAAGGTTTTTTTAAATCTTGATGTTTCAAATTTTGTGTTAATATATAACATTGTCCTTGACCCCACTGAGAATCTGCTGTTTTTACAATGTGCCTATGTGCACAAACCTAAAAATTTATTAAATGGTTAAGACATTAAGTACTTAGTAATATAAGTAACACTCAGAAAAATACATACCATTACTTTACCACCAACACCTTGACTACGAACTGTTACTCCTAACCATTGATTATCTTTGATTTCATCATTACTTGGTGGCACTAACTCATCAGAATCAACACCTACAAAAATTAAAGTTGTGTGTTAGAAAATTGAAAATAATAATAATTTCATGTAATCATATTTCAAATCACATTCAATGTCATTCATTTTTAATACAAATGCAGATATCTCTAATGACCGATTTCATATCATTTTTAGACTCATCATTATTTATTCCTCTGAGTTGGTCAAACATTTTATACCATTTCAAATGATAGAGCAATTTTATTTTATATACAGTATATGTATATTATGTTCCATAAGTATTACAGTAATACTTATGTATAAATATAATGTATGTATGTATGAAGAATTGTAAGTAGATGTTAATTAATTTAATTAATTTTGTTAATCTCTTAATTTTGTCACAGTATAAAATGAAAAGTAAATCAAAAACAAATTAAGCGTTAAAGACCATGCTGAAACAGATAAAGGATATGCATGAAAAAGCAAATGTAAAGAATTGAGAATAAGCAACTGTAGATAAATGTTATCCATGGTAGTAAGTTAAAGAGTATGTGATTTCTTTTTTGCAGCAAATCATACTATTTTATGCAAAAATAAAAACATGTTGAGACATTCCATAGTTAGTAACAATATGATTGCAAATTTAAATTTGTAATAATATTTATTAGTAATGTATTTATTAGAATAACAGTTATTGAATTTACTGAATGCAAATAATACAGTAAAATAATTTCTGTATTATGATTTAACACATCATGCTGATATGCGAGTTATAGTAAAAATGTAATAAAAGTATATGCATAATCACAACAATATGTGTCATAAAAATTACAAAATTGCTCATTCAAATAACACCATTTATCGACTTACTTGTATCATACAGACCTCCTTCTGCTGCTCGTTAACCAACACATAATTTAACAAAAAAATAATCTTATTATGTATACAACATAAAATAGAAACGCAATAACTTAACAACTCTATACAGCACTAACATAAAAAATAACATGCAGACTGAATTAATTAACATTATATGCAAACACTGTATTAGAGCCAGTGTTTTTAATTCTTATACTTTAGTATATTGATATACTTGAGTATAAGAATTAAGCAGTACAACATGTAATTTCACCATGTATAAAATGTAAACACTAAAAATATAAACACATTCTGACCATAAAATATTATTAGATTAAATTTAATTTAAATGTATAAATGTATGTATGTAATAATACATATTTAGACATTTAATTGTATTACATGTGACTGTCAATACTTTTACAAAGAATTAAACATCAAATTGAAGCTTTAATTAATGAACATTTATATTTTTGCAATGACTGAATAAGAAATATTAAATAAAAAACATACTTGATCGTCCATCTGTGATCACTTGAGTACAATTAAATTTGGTTGTTGTTAAAGGGCATTTCCATAATGCACCAGACCTGTTAGTTTCTGGTTGTCTGTTTTGGCCTAAAGGAGCACCAATTAACATCCTGTAAAATACATAATTAGTGTCATAATTAAAATATACAAAGTAACTATGTTACATTTACAATCAAATACAGATAGTAAAACATATACATGTTCACAAATTATAAATTTAGCATAATAAAATTATTTTCCTTGTCAGTGTTATTTTAAAATTATTTTCTTTACAATTTACATACAAATTAAATACTTTCATTTCACTTATTATACAAAATATTGTAGTAAAAGTAAATGAGTTACGTGGGAGTGATAATATCTAACATGTCATGCAAACACATTACCTCACTAAAATATTACAATCATTACACAATGTTTACAATAGCTTTAATTGAGATAAGAGTCGTGAGTATATTATTTACCAGCTTTTTGGTTTGTCTGAGCTATCGTGAGATATTTCTTGATGTTCGGCTACAGAATAACCGAAATAAGAGCCACTTGGTCCTTTTTTAATAACAGGTATTCTTGGCTCCAAGTTGAAAGTATACACTAAGCATACGTTCAAAATGAACCAAGTTAATTGATAACTTTTCATTTTTGATCAACTTCAGTCGGCGCACACATATGTATATAAATATAGTTCTCCGTGGTTTTCCAGCCGTAGAAAGGTGTGAACGATTTCGAAATTGACGTGTACTCTTATCGGTAGTACTATTTTTGTACACGTTACTTTACTTTATCGCCGTACCACTCATCTGTACCTTTTAAACAGGCATAGGATTCACCGGATCCACCCACGCAATTCATGTATTTTTTCTTAGTAAGAAAGTAAGAACTACATACACATGAACATATGCGTTTCGTTATTTTGTAGAGGGCAGCATCCAGCAGCATCTGCAAAGCGAAGAAATATTTTATTACTGACAACGACATGCAAAGATTTGTTTTTTAAATTATTTAGGGTGCGATTGTTTTAAACATTCCTGAATTATTTCGTAAGAATCTTTCGCATGACAAGCAAAGAAATGTATAATAAAATTGGAAGTCAATAAACTTATTAAATATATCATTTATACAGAGAAATCTTGTTTAAACATTCTTTATCCTTACTTTATAAATTTAAACCGTATTCGAAAACTTTTAAATGCAAATTGAAAACTGTATATTTACATTTGAAAAAGAATTATTTGTGTCATATAAATAGACAGAAATAAATTTGTAATTTTTAAATGGATGACATTAAATAATTACAAATATTTTATTATTTTTGTGATATAGAGTACTTGTTGTTTGGGAAATATATTTTCATTTCAAACAATTAGTATTTTAAAAAAGAACCATACAAGCAAAATATACTTGTATGCTGTAACTCTGTAGGGATTTTGTTTGTCAAACGCACGTTTGAAAAAGGTTAACATTTATGGCGAAAGAATATTTTGATAATTCTTGAAAATGCATTATTTTAAATATAGAAAATTTGCTACATCCTTTAGTATAATAAGAAACATGGGTAAGGATAGATTTTACTTTTAACCTAATCTTTATTTGTAGTTATTTTTGTAATTTTTGTTTAACTAAAAAATATTCTTCATTAATGATTGTTTACAATTGAACATAAGAATTTCTTTTTAGCTACTGTTAAAAGGTTCTATCGAAAAACGAATATTGTGTCAAGTGGTGGAAGATTTGAAATTACACTCGACCAAAGGAAACTTAAAACTCCACAAGGAAAAATATTTGAAGTGGATAACAAGCCGCTTGCATTAGCAGTGGCTGCAGAATGGGATGCACAAAAAGATGTTATTGATAGAAGCAATATGCACTTGGTAAATTTCCTTTTAAACCTACAAATATTTTATGCATTACTTAATATAACAATACATGTTTATATATTTCATTTTGTAGACTGCTCTGTGTAATACCATAATAGACAATCCTCACAAACATACAAAGATAGATATGGTCAATTATATTGTAAACTGTTTAGAAATGGATACACTTTTATTTCATACAAATGTAAGTATGTTATCCGAATCATTTTTCACATGAATGGGAACAGTGCAGAGGACAAATTTTTAAATTTAATGAAAAAAAAACTAATTTTATCATATATTGTAGGAAAGTGATGAATTGTATAAATTACAAACTGAAAAATGGGACCCATTAGTACAATGGTTTTGTGATAACTATAGTGTAAATATGGTAAAAACTCAAAGTATAGAGGCTCCCATCGTATCTGAAGAAACTAAAATGGTACTGGTGAGACATTTAATGTCTTATGACTATGCAGCAGTTCATGGTAAGTACCTTTATTATTTTAACATGTACAAATACGATCTTATATATTGTTTTACATAATAGGTAATACTGTTTTATTTATAGGTTTCATGTATGGAGTAGATGCAATAAAATCTGTGATTCTCACATTAGCTGCAGCAGAACGAGTGATTACTATACAAGATGCAGTAAAACTGTCGCGTTTAGAGGAAGATTTTCAAGTATTTATACTAAATTATTTACTAATTCTATTTAAAATATATTTCTTTGTAAGTTCCTAATGTTTTTTTCCATCTTTTTGTTATAGACTTCTCATTGGGGATCTGTAGAATGGTTTCATGATCATAACAAGTATGATTTACAAACTCGTTTAGCTGCAGCAATATTATTTGTGCATTTGAACTCTAGTTCAGTGACTAGTCTACCCAAAAATAATAATGAAAATGTTAGTTAATGTACAAGGATCAATGAAATGAGGTATAAACAATATTTGTACTACAAATATACCAGAATGTATTGAAACAGTAACAATATTTTTGCTAGTTTGAAACGTGACAGGAGGATGAGTTAACAGAGGATAATGCTTCCACTGGTATGGAACAGTCAGAACCCATCCATTCCTTTGTACAAATACAACTGAAATAATTGATGAATATTTAATTAATAGATCAGGTACCACAGATTACGCATTACTTTTGAAGAAATAATTCACCTATACGTAGCCCCATGATTCAAACATATTGCGCCATTTTTACACAAATGACGGATGCATTCGTTGCGATGACATTCGCCAACACCACGACCCGTTGCAGGACTAGAGCTTGTTATTGGATAAATTGCGCTTTCAGTACGTAACTCAATGTCGAATATGCATCCGGAAAATCCAGTATGGAGGGGTAAATCGTGGGGTAACGATTCAAAGTTCTTTGACTTGTGTCCACCTAGCCATTATTAGTAATTTTTGTAACTATATTCAATTTAAATTATGTAAAGTATTTGTACAGTAACAGTTATTTTACAAACTGTAAATATATCGATATGAAATGATGATTTAAAATTATTTTTATTCTATAAAAAAATGTGTTAGATAAAAGTATAAAATTCAGATAAAGAACAAACCAATATAAAGTATCGGTGATACATCGAGTCGAGTCATAGACCCGACCACTCGCCCAGTCACGTTAGCCCTGCCATCCACAGCAAGCCATGCGTCTCTACCTCGTCTCCCAACTTGGACCGTATGGGCTACATAACGCTTGTTTTGTGTCATCGTTGTAGCGCTCAGAGGAACGCTTGTAAATATTCTGCGTACACCTATAAAACATCATCATGAAACAAAATAATATACAGTAAGCAGGGTTACGCAACTATTGAGAGGGGCTTAGATCACTTTTATGATCAAACGATTTGCTAGATAAGTTCAAAAAGGAAAGTTAAGCGATCTAGGTTTCTCCCAATTTGTTGAGAGTTCTGTTATTTGAAATAGTACTTCAAATAACGTTATTTCAAAGGGGTCCAGATCCGCTACTAATTAGTAAAACGTCAAGATGTACTTATACCCGCTCCTAAGTCCCATGTCAACATAATGTAACCACGGACATATGTAATGGAAAGATGATCCGACAGGTCACGTTGCGAACCGCTTTGTCCTAAGTAAGCTATGAGAGATATTTGTTCAAGTGACCGTGGTATGAGTTTCATTTTCAATTCCATGTTATCTTTGATAGAATTCGAGACACCATAAGCGACGTACGACGATAATCCAGGTACAAGTACCGAGAATGATGGTCGATTTATGACGGTATCTGAGAAGTTTACAACGATGTTATCGTACACGTTTTTATACACATACAACGTATAACGAGAGTATGATTGACCTTCTTCGCATAAGAGTCCGTGAGTTCCAAGCGGGCAAACGCAAATGAAGCCCGTCCCTGGCGAACTGATGCAGGTCGAACCCGACGCGCAAGGATTTTCATCGCACATTGAACGCTCACAAAATGGGCCTGTGTATCTATCCAATCGAATAACACTCGGTTTTGTGATCATTTATAACATCTACTAGCATTCTTTCTCCTCGGTTAATTTAACAAATTATCTTACCCTGCTATACATCTACAACGTACTGCACCGTTTGTTTCCTCGCATGCACCAAAGTTTTTGCATGGATTCGATAGGCACAGAAAAGACACGCAATCCTCGATTTGGAATGTTTCTGTAGAATCGCGAATGAAATGACGCTGGACATCATTTATCTGCATCAACAAATTAATTACGATGCAAGTATTTGTAGAATTGTATTGAGTATAATTTTAGTCACTGTCATGGTCTAGACAGATTCGAAAAGGCAGAGGAATAATGGTTTCTCAGTGTTTACGGTGATGTAAATGGGATGTAATATCTTGGTATTTGTTGTAACAATTGTAGCTTTGTAAATCACTACAGGAGATTCGATATAGAACGTTTTGTGTTAATAATGGGCCAGAACGTAAATAAATGTTATATTCTACATATATAAATCATCCTAAATTCTGAGAAGACGTTATCCTGCCTCTTGGATTTCTGCAAATAGCCGATGCGATAAACAGCTATAAGATAAACAGATTTAAAAAGTGAAGAAAACCTTTAAGGAGTCCATGCAACCGGTAAATCCCACGGAGACATGCGAGAAATAATGTGTAAATATTAATGGTATGCCACCTAAATGTAAATTGGCATGTCTTGGAAGGCTCCCATGCAGTGGCAGAATTTGTTCACCGCTAACGGCTGTAGTCCCGTTCACTAACAAATGGGCTGAACATTTATTGGTATCGTTTCTCATGAAGTATTGAAATCTACATGTAAGAAATAGTTATGTAGAATAAAAAGATGTTAGAAATACGAGGTGTGTTTGAAAAGTTGGCGGCTCCACGTAAACAAAAATGATTTGTTATACTTTCTTTCTTATTGTTCGATATAATCAACGATACTGTAACGTTGCTATGTCAATTTAAAATAGGCGTTTACTGCATCCATCACTTCTGTATTTAATACAATAAGTTTGAGGTCCAGCTGTTCATCTTGTGATAGAGCTTGGCCTTTCAAGCATCCCTCGTATATTTCATCTAACTGGTGTACCTTGTATCAATGTCAACTTCGTATCCATTGTCGACAGGTGAATCGATTTCGCCAAGTAACATAGTCTCAAGCCCGCAAGAAAATTGGAACTTCAGAGCTCCATATTCCAAGTATACCAAAGCATATTTTTCATTGTCGAAATAGACGTGGAGTATAATGCCATCCTTGAAACGGGCTCTGATTCTCACGAAAATTCTTAACGTCGCGTTATTGTTTTCTGAAATCTCTACATCGGCGTGCTGTCTCACATAAGATTTCCCATTGAAAGCTGCCCGCGTTATACCGGAACCAGTTTTACAGTCACCGCGAAGAGAACAGTTACACTGCAATCATATGTCAACATTGATATTTTTATCAGCACTGACGCAGTAAATAAACTATTGATAGCAACAGCTTTTAATTCTGTGTACTTTTGGAGGAAAATTTTAACTTTTGTATTTGCAGTATTACATTCTACATACAGTCTTGTCATATTTTCTAAAATAAAAGATAGTAAGTAGAATGTGCAAAATGTTGAATATTGTACAGACATGAAAAGTCGGCTACAGGATCTGATTAATCGTGGTACAATTTCGTAGATCATATTATGGAAAGTTTATAGAGTGGAGATTATATTATATTTAATAAGATTCAGCAGTCAACTTCTCATCTTTGTATAACAATTTTGCCTTACGAATTACGAAGGCTGGCCACATCGTCTGACCTAATAGGACTCGCACTAGATCCACAATACATTTTAATAAATAAAGAAGAGTCTCTGTATGTGTGACACGTATTACAAGTAAACGATTAGGAATTGTAGTAAATGTTTATACATACAAGGACAATAATAAATTTTCGTTAAATAAAATGCTTACGTCGCTGTCGCTGCGTGCAGGTGCTGCCGTACACAGTATCCCATGACATTCGGTACCAATACTTTCAGTTGTCGATAGCTCATCTTTCGTTGACGACTGTTCGGGTTCGCTAACGCTAGTAACTTCATCGAATATTGGTCTTACAGAGGTACTACTTGTCAATGACGAAAGGGTAACATTAGCGAATGCGAATGTAGAACTTTCCACATCTCCACTCGAAGATTTTAATGGAGGTGTAGATGACCATCTATCTGTAAATGAGGGAACAGTGCTTTTTGGCACTTCTGCTGTTGGTGAATTCGGTTCTGAGCTTTTGTTTTGCCAAGGTTCCGTGAAGCTCGAAGACCATGTCACGGTGGAAAATGAGCTGGTCTTTTCACTTCCGGCTGTTGCCATTGCTTCAGTAGATATTTCAACAGACGTAGTCATCATAGGATAATACCTATAAAAATGTAATGTTGAAACAGTCGAACAATCGAACTCGATTATAATGAGCATCAGGAGATAGATATAATTTTGCTATTATAACTGATACTCGTTGCATCGGTGATGAGTTAAACATGTTCCCTATTTTTTCAATAATTTGATAAGAAGATACATTTGGAGAATAGAAGATATATTAGAGATGTTGAAATTTGAAAGTATAAAATGTGCCATTGAGCAGATGAGAGGCTTTTGTTTTTCGGATTTTGCTGAGTGTGGTTTCTTGAGCGTCGTGCACACAAAGTGTTCCGCATATGTTCCTAAGATAACTAACATGTATAATGTTGTATATGTATTCTACTTTTGATCCTATCAACAGAAAGAGAAATAAAGTAACGTATGTGTATTAACTGCGATACATTAAAAATTAAACAGTGTTCGACCGTATTCTATAGATTGGTTTAAACAAGAGATAAGATGGTCCCAATTTACCTTGTAATTGGGACATACCTCGTCGTACTATTCGCTTCAGAAGGTGTTGTGTCACTGATGGATGCGAATGTACCAGTACCTTCTTCTTGATAAGTAGTATCAGCGGTGGTACTTTCATTGCGAGCTGACTTTTGCGTTGGATATTCCGTTTCAGCCTTGACCGTTGAAGTCATTGGAGACATTTCATTTGAGGTATCGGGAAATTCTCGAGGTTCCATCGAGACGGTTTCAGTTTGAGATGTTCCTTTACCCTCGATGGAGTATATCGAGGAGACATCGGTAACCAACGGCGTAGTTTCTGTGGCACTATCGCCGCTGCTACCGAATAAGGTAGTGCCGTTCTTGTCTATGGTAAAAGGTGTGTCGGTGAAAGGGTACCATTTTGTATAAGAACGACCAGTGCTCTTAGAGGTCATCGAAGATTGTGTAGTCGGTGTACTGGAAGCAGTTGGTGATGCATTACTTTCTGGCAGTGTTGCTGGTCTCGGTGAAAACGAAGTACTGGCAGTGGTCTTCTTATCGTCATCAGTCTCAAACGGTTCCTCAAATGTCGATGAAACGGTCGATGGAAGATCATATACGTTGCAAAATAGGCCGCTGTAGAATGCAGGACAAGCGCAAGTGAAACTGTTGATGCCGTCGACGCAAGAACCTCCGTTCTCACAGTTAGCGAATTTCGACTCGCAGTCGTCGTATTTTAACTCGCATAACGTTCCGTGATAGTCCGGGACGCAGTAGCAGACCGATCGTTCGTCCTCGAACAAACATACTGCATCGTTTTTGCAGGGATTCTCCTCGCAGGGCACGATGGCTTTGTCGCAGTCTTTACCGGTATACCCTTGAAAGAATAGTTAAAGTTAACAAGGCATTGAGTTCATAATGATACCTACTTTAAAAGAGAGTGATTCTTCGTGGCGATTCAAGCAATTTTTCATTCAAATAGAAATATGTTGAAATATAAACGTGATCCTTCTCAGGTGAAGGCTTAAATTGTGTCTGGAAAAAATAATGCAGAAAAATATGCTTTGTATAAGATGGAGCCCAGACAAAATACAAAAAGGACGTTCCATATTACATGAAGTATATTTTGCACATTATAACACAACTTAAGTCTTTATTTAAAGATGACAACGTAATCAACGTTTATATTTCAACACGTTATCGATCCTTTTTTAAATGATCTCTAAAGCATTGTTTAAGCATTTACATAATTTAGAAGAGTATGAATATTCCACGCTATTATAGCTTTGATTACATTGACTCTTTTTATTTTGTCGAGTTATAAATTGCTGGATCATGGTTTGAACTTTCATACTCTCTTAAATTATTCCAGTAACACCTTATTGATATGCTGTACCTGGAGAGGAACATCCAACCTTATGATCGGAATGTCGTAAACAAAGAATTGAATTAATACTACGACAAAATACGCTAATTTTTTATCAAGGTACAGTAAATCGTTAAATAGGCACGCAATGGTCTGCCAAACTCTCAACGTATCTTATTTTATTATTAAACGGCATTATTCATGCGTTTTCCTGTAAATAGTACATTTAATTCTTTTTAATTTAATTAAAGAAAATAGTCAATCTATGTCAGGTATTTACCTCAATTCTAATAGTTTGAGTTCGTTTTCAAATTATTTAAACAAAATTATAGATTAAGCGTGGCATCCATCGTAACTTACCGAACAGACAAGCGCAAGTATACGAAGCGGGCATATTGATGCAGAGACCTCCGTTTTTGCATGGTGATGCAACGCATTCGTCGATATCTTCGTCGCACAATCGACCTGTCCAGCCTGTTTAAAAAATTAGAGTTAATTACAGTTAATTCTGTGGTTTTAAAGGGTCATTCGTTACTCCTAAACATTTTCTGCTAATGTTTACAAACTATGAATGGCTTATTACGACTATATTTTCATCATTGTGCTGGTTATAGTGTAGGTACCTTCGGGGCAGCGGCAAAAGAAGGAGAATCCAGGTCCTTCCACGCATTCGCCCCCATTTTTACATATGGTATCGTTGCAAACGGAGGCGTCGATTTCACAATAATCACCTTCAAAAAAAAAAGATTCAAGTTATTCTTATATCACTGACTATAAATAAAATTTAGAATACAATAGAATTGATCAAATTGCTTTAAATTAATTTATAGAAATCTTGTAGTTGTCAGAGATCTCTAGACTGAACAGAATACTTTGAGATATCAAGAATAATTTAAAATTGGAAAGGTATAGAATAAACAATTGTAAAGAAATATACGCAAACGAGTATGAATGTAAAATATATAAAAGAAAGAATAAATGGCGTTACGTTCAATTAATATTTCTATTGTAGCGTTAATTTGATGCTGCGCATCCCAGAGTGATATGGAAAGCGATATTCTTCGCGATAGAAATACAGGACTGCATTGGTCTGTAGTACTCTATAGCAGCTACTCTTTTGTCTGATCAAACACGTAATGCGCTCCTTAGAATTTGAAAACTGTACAGTCTCTGGAGTACTCTGGATTCTTGATTCCTTTTCTACTGTTTTTAAGACTTCACTATATTTCTTCAATCAACTATACTCTTACAATTAGGCATTTCTACCTGAATATCCTTCAGGGCACTGACAAATGATACCATCGCGATCCACACAGGTTCCGTTATTCAGACAGGGTTGATTCGAGCATTCGCTGTACCTCTGCTCGCAATTTGTACCTGTAAATAGACAGAGTATGTCAAGACAATAAATAAACCTGTCGAAGCTAAATTTTGAAAGAAATTTATGTTGAGTAAGCAGAGTCGTTGCTGCAAGTTTAATAACATCTAGCAAAGATACTTCCTCGATACTAGCCCAAGAAAACTATACAAACGTGTTATTTAAGCCGTCGTAATTTTTTGATTTATTACAAGCATTTAACTTAACCAGAGGCTTATTTAAAATTGTCGTTTATATTTTGTATTATGATATAACAAAAGATCTAAGATTTCTAACAAGGAAACACCGGTGATGCGGACGTGTCTGCTTTTCACCGATAATAAGCTTAAGCTTAAGTATACTTAAGCTTTACAAAGCTGACGCTCGAATGTCGTTTAATCATTTGCTGTACAAACACGTCGGCGGGTCGAGATTCGCGCATGCGATAGAAGGTAAACAGAGAAACCACGAGTTACCTACAAAACCCTCGGCGCAAGTGCAATTATACGCTGCAACGGCATCGTTGCAAGTCCCTCCGTTCAGGCATGGATTGGACCAGCAGTCGTCCCAATTAATATCGCAATTAATACCAGTGTAACCGTCGATGCAATAACAGGAGTAAGTGCTGTATAATGTACGCAAAATGAACAACTAATTAGAATAATTACAGAAGTATTATACATTATATAACAGTATATTAATTCAACGATGTTAACATTTCTTTATATTATATTTATTCTTTCGAATAAAGAGACTTAATCGTTTTACTTATTTGAAATGTTTATTCAAGGGCCCCAAACAGATGTTATTCTGTCTATAGGGTAACGCGCCACTAATTGTACTTGACAGTATGTTAGAAATGAAATCAACGATAAATTATTGATTACTTTACAGTCCTTATTTATGTACCTGTTCGCGTCCTCTAAACAAATCCCATACATGCAGGGATCGCCGCTGCAATTCAGTCCCCGTGAAAAACCAGTGGTTAAAGCCAAGACAGTTGCCAGAACAAGGATTCTCTCATTTATGAATTTCTCTGTCCGTTCTCTCGTATAATGCATTCTAAATAAAAATAGCGTAACTCTAATTGTACGCGTTTACGCACAGGTCATCGAGAACAATCGCAAGATGCGCGTGTTTACCACCCACGCGACGTTCACTGCTCAACGAACGCCTCTTAAAATCGACGTATCTATAGTACGCGTATAAAAATTATACATGCTCAAGCGTACTTTCGTGTAAAATACGATTACGTGGAGTACCATCGCCAAAAACGTTCCAATGCATGAAATGAAATAAACCAACCGGAAATTACTTTTATTTTACGCGAGTCATTCATCTGCAGACCGTTTCTCACATTTTGATTACCTTTGCGTATCGCCGGATTGTCCCATATAACTAAAGAAACGTAAATCGCGAGTAATAGAACCTTTTGGTTAGTGTACACTGTTCCTGAATGATACGACTACCTCTATATAATATACATACTTGTTAGCATAGGTGCTATTAGTTGCAGGTAGTCGGTTACCTGGTAGTCTTAGCAACGCTTGGCTACACAAGCGGTAGCATGTCTCGGTTACGCTTGCGTGGAAAATTCGCTTCGTCGATAAGAATTTTTATTACATTTCGAAAACTTCGAATTCCATCGAGTGGAACGAAACACGCTTCGTTGTGAACGTTTCTCTTCGAATATGTGTAATCTATGCGCTTGTAATCATAAACTAACTGTGGTAAAATTAGCTGAAGTAATGTGAACAGAGGCAGATCAGATAAATGAAGATCCACTGGATAATCGGGACCTGAGGTGAAATAATTAAACATAATATTTCATTTACGAAATAAACTCTTCATAGAACTGCAACGCATTTTCTAATGGGTGTCTTATCAGTGCTGTTAATAAATATTTTTAATCTGTGTAATCCATCTGTTCTGTTTTTCTTTCTCCTAAAATAAAATAAAATGCATTATTGAAAACAAAAGTCTTGGATCGTCTGAGTAATTACAAGTAGTATCACTAGGTAGCCAGATGAATAATCTACTTACTCCGGGGTATTCATCATTATCGTTACCAGCGTAAAACGAATCCTGTATATAAAATCTACCATTTACATTAAGATAAAATAAAGAAACAAATTGAACAACGTTGACGTCGCAGTGGTATCACACTAACATTATAATCGGTTATCATCTTCGATTGCAACCGGTTGAACGACAGAACACAAAACGACGGATGCCAAAACGCAACTACCTATTACAAAATCCCAATTCTATTTTAAACCGAATCAGCGAGCATGAAATGATACCACTGCTCTTTCACGGATGCTCCCAACGTCTCGAAATCGTCCAAGTATGCGTGAAAGGTTGGTTTTCGCGCGAACGAAAATCTTTGTTTATGAAGTCATCGGTCTCTTTACCGAATGCCAGCCTTCGATTCGTCTTCGTTATGCCAAGGTCAATGTAACATAGTCATGAATATATTTGTAGATGGCTGTAAGTAAAAGACTATTACTTAATCTCGCCGTATTTTGTTAAACGTGCATAGAGCGAAACACTTACAGCAGGCCTATAGATAGATGAGGATTCTTGAAGGAATCTTGCTTGGTTTCGGTAAAGACACAATCTGATGCCAATAGCTTGGCAAGTAGAGGATCTAAAACAGATACAAAGGTCAGCGTTTTCTTCTTTTGATGGAATTGTCAGTTTTTTAATGCGGAGCTCGATTCGGTAATGAATTTTGAGAACAAAAGTGTTATGGTATATTTATCCTAAAGTTGATAGCTTCTGAGATATATGGGATATCATATTAAAATTATAATGTTTGAATGGTTTATCATACGCAAAACTTATCATCTCAAATGATAGACTTGTTGAAATTTTACATATCTTAGAAAATGTTCTGTACGAAGAATTCGACAGAAGGGTTCGACGACCTGCGATTCACGGAAACAATAGGCAAAGCTCTCGATCAGATTTGAATCTGGAATAAAAGACAATCAGCTGTTTATCTGTTACATGTTAAATAAAAATTAGAATTGTAATTATACAGTGAAATAATTCAGAATAAACAAATACAAATTTACGTGTTCACTAAATTGAAGTCCTATACGTTGTTTTCATTCATAATCCGTTAATCGAGCCAAATTCGATTCATCTCTGCTTCAAGGTCAATCAAGGTCAAGCGGTGATACTTCAGTAACAAAATATCCTGGAAAATATTAATTTTAGTATGTGTACGCTTTGATACTTCTATACATCAAATTTTCTCATACAAAAAACATTGGTGATTCAATTAAAAAAAAAGAAAGTGTTTACACTTCCATCTACAAAGAATGAAGAAGTGTTCATGAACACTAGTGTTCATGTTCCCCTTGAAATCGAATCAAGATTGACTCAAAGGAGTTTCGCCTATCGCCAAAAGTGAATGAGTTATTCAGGTGGCCCGTGTTGAGCACTCAACGGCTTCAGCTAGTATATACCACGAGGGGATCCAAGAACGCGAACACAACGGCAGCCACCGCTGTTGAAGACGGTGATCGACGCGTCTCTCCGTCGGGTTGCATCAATACAAACGGTTCTCATCGACTCGTCGACGCGATATTTGAGTGCAACATGAGTGTCCCGGGTGTCGTGGGGCCTGATCAAGTGAGAGAAACGCTGTTGACGCATCTGAAGGACAGCAAGGTCTATAGGGACGGCCCTCAACCGTGGACCGTCGGATATTCCAGGCTGGGCGGTCGTGGTTTGTTCGCCACACGCGACATAGCGCCTAACGAGTTGATATTCGTCGACGCACCCCTGATTATCGGGCCAAGGTGCAATGGCACGCATCTGGAGATGTGCGTTTGCTGTTACAAGAACGAGTGCCCGCTGTTTCCGTGCGACCACGGCTGCGGATTGCCTGTGTGCTCGGTGCAGTGTGAAAATTCACCGAGGCATACGGACTACGAATGCAAGTACCTCAGGTCGTTGATACCGACTTGCGGGACCGACTGGTCCTTGCAGTTGTTGCTAGCTGTGATACCGATACGCGCGTTGTTCCTCACGGAACGGCAACGCGAATGTTTGGCCACGCTTCAGTGCGACCAGACTCTTATCCCCAGCCACGAGGTACGATCATTTGCACCACGGCTACGAATCGTTAGAATTTAGATATTTCAGGCTTTCACCGTCCAATTCTTGATCATTTACATTAAGTGGTTTGGTATCTTTCCATTTCTTCCCTGCTTCCTTTTACTTTCCCCAAATTTCCATTGAGTCCAAGGGATGGGGTGCGACTTAGCCAATGGATACATATTTCTTGACATATCTCTGTAATCATGCATAATTCTAAAAAAACCAGTTCAAACAGATGTTATTCGATTTGGGAAACATATATGTTTCCTAATATATTGATTAGTAGACTGTGGATCTTTATGCAAAATAAAATCTTGGCAAACGTGTCTACAAAAATTGAACCTAAGGAATTTATTTTACTCTGCAAATATTATAATAAGAACTTTACTCTCAATATTCTTTATATTCTTGCATACTCTGTGCATTTTGTAGTTTCTCAAACATTCAAATTTCCTACAAATGGATAAAAATCCGCAGTAGAATTATAAAACTTTTAACAAGTAGCTACAGTAAAAGGAAACTGTTATTTGCTTGGAAGAATTACAACTTTCCATCTTACATATTACTGTCTTACGAATACAATTTTAATTAATTGAACATTTGCTACAAGATCGACTTGCTTCGACGGAACGTAACAAATCCTCCAAGCGAAGAAGATGAAAAGTTAATGAGACACGTGTGCGGGGCGTTCGCCACGAACGCGTTCGAAACGGTCAGCGTCCAAGACAAGGACCATTCATCAAGTTTGCGTGGACTCTATCCGATGGGGGCATTGCAGAATCACTGTTGCGTACCGAATACGAGACACCACTTCGACGATGAACAGAGGCTGTATGTTAACGCTGCGCTTCCAATTTCTGCTGGAGAGGAGCTCACCATGTCCTATACCAGTTTATTTTGGGATACGACGCTGCGAAGACCTTTCTTGAGCCTCACCAAACACTTCTCCTGCGAGTGCAAGAGATGCACCGATCCTACGGTAAATCAATGATCAATAACTGGTACTAAAATACCATTAAAGACAAAATTGTAAATTTTACAGAAAATAATCAATTAACTTGTAATATTATACTTACATAATGCTAGGAATTCGGAACTAGATTAGGAGCGCTCTTTTGTGCATCCGATGATTGTTTCGGACACCTGTTACCGCGAGATCCTCTTAAAATGGGATCTCCCTGGATATGCGACAAGTGCTCGATGTCTATAAACAACCGACAGGTATTTACTTAAACATTTCACTATAGACATTAATTTAAATACTTTACACCAAACAGTGAAGAGTATTTAATACGTATTTCACGTGCCAAATAATTAAATAATAAATACATGAATAAATACATAAAGATTAAGAATAAATTAAGAATACATTAAGAATTAAAATTAAAAATACATTAAGAATAAATACATGGGTAAACTATATCGAGTAGTAAATACTATCTATTTTTGAATTATTTCCAAGCTTTTCCATTACGATAGCTCTGTAAATAAAAAGGGGTTTATTAATACAAACTTCTCCCCCTTTTTTTTTTTATCGTATTAGATACGTTCCATTCGTTCAGGTTTGGCAGCTATACTGGAAGAAGCTTTGTACAAACCACCGCGACAAATTTACAAGTTTATGCAAAAGGAACTTTCATCCGTGATTCCTTCTAATAATTATCTCTTAATGGATTTGAAGTTTCGAATTATATCATACTATGGCAGGACTGAGAATCTCGAGTGGGCAGGTATCTGAACTACATATACTTTTGTTCTGACATTGTTATATCTACTTTATAACTTTTCAAAAATAACGTTAGATTTAACTGATGCCGAACTCGATCTAAAGTGGAGATATTGCAACGATTTACTCTCTGTCTTAGACCTTTTGAACTGTGGAGACTGTAAAAAAAGAGGTATATTATTGCAACCAATGTATCTTTTCAATTTTTCATATTAATCTTCGCACGCAAACAAAAATAAATAAGTTTATTACTTTTTCATGTTTTAGGTCTGATTTTGTATGAATTGTATTGTACAAACGTTGAAAAGATGAAACGACTTCGGCAACAGCAAAATATAAAAAATGAAGATGCACATTGTTCTATACAGGTGTGTTTATTTATTTGCGTCGCTGTAATATTATTTATATTTACATAATGTATTTCTTTTAGAATGATGGAAACGAGCGTCTATTAGAGAAAGCGATGACTATATTACAGAATGATGTTGTCGCAGTTGCTGTTTTCGAATACGACAAAAGATTTTTTAATTAACACTAACTGCTAGCTGAAAAATGTTATAAAGGAAATAGTTAATTTTTAGTAAAGTAAAATCCATCTCTTCGTATTATAAACCTATACTTATATTATTATTATTATTATTATTATTGTCTATAAATAGTTTGTAAATGTACACAAAATTCAATTCGTAAAATATTTGATAAAAATAAAAATTACTCAAGTTATAAGTTCATAATATAAGGATACTAAAAAAACGATGTTTATAGAAAAAATATAAGAAAGCATACCAAATTTTCAAAAATAAACGTCTTTTTTTTTAATTTAACCATCTAGGATTAAGCAGGATTAAGATACTTTCCCTGAATTGAAAGAAGATATTATAATATAAAATACCATTAATAATATTGAACGCCAGTGGTTATAATTCTCGTAAAGAAAAGTATGATATCAAAGTTGAACAATATACAAGAGGATATTCAGTAATGGTAAATCAAAGAGTTATACATTAAGAAAAATGTATCAATTTAATTCTTTTCTACATTGCACCACCGATGGCTAAATTAGTTGCAGCAAATGATTGAATAGCTGAACCAGTTTAGCTAAATAGTAACAAATTGATGCACTTCTGCCCTATGCTGTACTAATAATATAGCAGCAAAGTGCAATTCTGGGGGATCATCCTACAAATAAAAACTCTTTTCATACAGCTTGCTGTAATAAACATTTTGCCTCCTCGTATAAAGCTGTACAAGGTTTCAGAACTTCTAGATCGTAATCCACGTCTTCTTCGGTATTTACATTGCTATTCCTACAACAAAACAATAGCAAACATGTTACGTTACATTGTTAGAAAATATTTATGAAGTCTATTTACCTATACAAAAAATCATCCACCCCTGGTAACATATCATTATTTAGGTCACGTAACAGGCGATTTCGTACGAGTGCTGTGTGCATAAATGCGACATCGTGAAGGAAAAACTCCGAGTGATCTGTAAGTAAATAGTCGTTGAAATAAGTATAACTAAAATCATTTTTACAAGATATAACAAACAGCGTACCGTCTTTTTCATATTTCTTAGTAAATTTCTTCATTAACTCTTCGCCTGCATATTTCGAAGAGACACCGATTCTATGGAGAATTGCTTTGCACTGCCAACGGTTTTCTGCATTTTGATTGCACGATGCAGATCTTCGAGGTTGCGTTTCTTTTACGAGACTTTCCCAGTCGACCCCCAAAGCATCGCCTAAACCTTTACCACTTGTTTTGATATCCTCTTCTAGTTCGCCGTCGGAAATTTCTTCGAAGTCCATAGTTTCCATATTTTCATCTTCCATGTTTCTATATACAATGTCAGTTATATACATTATTAATACAAGTATATGATAATAATATGTTCTAACGTTCACAAGTAACCAGAATTTGGATGTAGTACCTAAATGTTATTGTGTCGGCGTTATCTTTTCCTTTCGTATTAAAAACTGTTTCTTCTATAGTTTCCTTTGGAGATGATAAATCTGCCTCTTGAGTTACTGACTGGGCATCGCGTTGTACAGTATCGGCAGTTTTTTTATTTGCCCGAGTTTTATTCGTATCGACATCCTGTAAATATTAGTATTGCAAATATGTCTATACAAATATGAAACTAAAGTGAGTAAAAATGAGGAAGTATAACGTACTGTAATATCTTCCATATTTAATATATCATCTGGATCATCACTAATATCGCTGAGGTCGCTCTCAGTATGAAGCGTCTGCAAAGATTCATCTATACAAGACCGTTTTGGTTCGATCGTGACGATTTCTTTTGTTTCCGATTTTTCTTTTGGTAACACCTTCTTTTGAAAACTGTCCGTAGATTTCTCACGAGTTATTGGCAGTTTACCTTCCGCGAGTTCCATTAATTTTTTGTTGATAGGTTCTTCTTTCATACTGCCGTACAAAGAGGCTTGTTTGGAGGCATGAACCGTACACTCCTCTCTAGTTTCAGAAGTGTTGTAAGTTCTCCTTTTGCTAAAAGAAACGAAACAAAGTAAGCTAATAATTTATACGTCTGTAATAATATTATAATATTCTATAAGTTATATAAAATGGAATATAAAATGCTAAAAAGTTGTTAGATAGACTGTTGATAGATAGCATACTTGTGCGATGTAGACTCTCCTAATTCCAATTCCTTCGACCGATCATTTCTATAGTGACCACGAATGTGCACGGATTGATTATCCCATTTTCGGTTGTCGTTCGATTTCCAATCCGACACAGGATTGTCATATCGGGCATTCCAGTCGTCATCGTGCACTTCCGATCGAGGAAGACTGTCCCTGCTATCCCACATTGCTCTTACTCGCCATTCTCTTTCCTCCCAATCAACAGGCCCATAAGTTCGATCTCTACTATGTTCTACATCTCGATGATGATTATCCCAGTCATCGTTAGGAACATTTTCATCTCTGATAAAAAGTAAGCACAGACAAAATATTATGTTTCACGTTTAAAACACATTCAAAGGGATTCTCATTAGTAATTTAAAAAATTCTTTCCACGTACCGAATCGACGCATTGTTCCTCAATTTTTCTCCAGGATAGAGTGGATGTCTGTGATGATGGTGATGATGTCGATGATCTTCAAAGGACGTCCTATCCGTTGCTTGAACAACGTATCTAGATTCTCGAGATCTTTCTTCGCGAATTCCACGTCTTTCGTCAAATGGACTATCATATCTCCTCCCATCAACAGCTTTCCTTCTATCGTCTTCGTGAACATGATGCTCGCGGTAATCTAAATGCGTGGACGCTTCCTCTGGCTCGTCCCAATGCTCAGACGCCAATCGTCCATAATTCCTATTATAATTTCTATCTACTTCAATGGTACGCCGTGGACTAGTCTCTCGCCTTTCGATTAAACGATCAACTTTAGTCGGTGTAACACGCGACTGATCATGTTCGGATGCATGAGTTCGATCATACCTTGTACTAAATCGTCGGTGCCTTTCTCGATCGTAATGTCCAGGATCTATTCTGTCGATTAAATTATCTCGCGATGCTGATAGAGTAGCTGGCGCAGACGAGGACGTCGACGACGCTATGGAGGATTGAACGGGTGGTAACGAAGGTGGTTGCGATGGAGGCGGTGGATTATGTACACTTTTATCGAGTAAGGATGCTCTGTCTAAAGACCTCTCGCGTGGGAAACGATCGACGCGATCTCTAGGTGAATTCACACCGGCTTTACGACTAGACGCGTCCTTGTCAACAGTACTCCTATCATACCTATTATCGATCCTTTGAGTTGATGTTCTGTCTCGATCAGAAAGTGCTTTCGTTTCAGACCGTTCCCTTTCCCTATCGCTTCTACGTTCTCGAGTACCGTTTTTTTCAAAAGCACTATCTTTTCCTACTATTCGGTCTTTGTCCCGGCTATAACGCGAATTTTTATCCGTCGTTAAACTTATAGGCGTTGGAACCAAAGGAGGTACATCTCTATCCCTTGGTTTTATCGGTTCCTTTTCTCTATCACGGTCGCGATCCCGATCCCGATCACGGTCACGATCTCGATCCCTATCACGATCTCGGTCCCGATCACGATCGCGATCACGATCACGGTCTCTATCTCTTTCGCGATCGCGTTCTCGATCCCTGTCGCGTTCGCGATCTCTCTCTCGCGGTCGTTCGCGGCATCGTTCCGGTAATTCTTCTTTATCTTTATCGCGAAGATCGCGTTGGTCTCGACCAAGTCTGGAATGGCCGCGTTCATCTCTCGTGTGATCTTTATCGCGTCTCTCTCTACTCTTTTGTCGCGTTTTATCGCCCACGTAAGGTTTATCATCGAATTCTTTGCCAATTCTTCTATGGTTTTCTTCTTGATTGGAAACTTGTCTAGTTTTATTACTTTGTTCAGTTTTTCTTATATCCTCCCTATCTTTAGTTTTTTCGCTTTTATGCGATTCGCGATCTTTCTTCTCTACGTCTCGCGATCTGTTTGTGGAAATCTGCCTGTCTTGAGTCTTCGATGGCGTGGGCTCGCGTTTCGACCTTGACGATTTTTCAGGGGTACGACTGCGGCGTGTTTTTGTTGAAATTGTTTCCTTCGAGTGCTGATGCTTCGACCTTTCGGACGTTGGAGGTGTTCTAGAACGTATTTCTTTGTCGTTCCCTTTACATTTCACTTTTAATCTTTCGTCGGGTTTCATTTTTTCGTCTATCGTACGATTTTTCTCTTTATCTTGCTCTTTGCTTTTATCGAAAGATTTGTTCTTGGTGCTATCTTTAGATAATTCGTCTACATCTCGTATTTTCTTATAGTGCCTGTCCTCTTTATCTACATCTCTGTTTTTTGTCGCTTTTGGAGATTCGCTTCTGTTTCGTTCTCTAACTTTATTAGACGTGCCATGATGAGGTACAGATACCGAAGAACCTAACACTGTTGTTGTCGCAGCTGTTACCGTTGCAGGCACTTGTATTGCTGGTGATCTCGTGCGAGGAGTAGAAGAATGTTTTCTTGATGTTGAGGTAGAGGTATACTTCTTTGTTGATCTAGCAGTAACATCTTTTTTTGTAGAACTACTGTCGAATTTACGTTTCTTTTTAACTGATGGCTTCTCGTTCTTCATTCCAAGCCTTTTTACTTTTAATCTGTAAAATACAATGAATTAACTCTTTTGTTATACGTAACAAAAAAAATACGAATGCATTTCTCATTTTAAATATGAAGTATAACATACTTTCTTCGTCTTTCTTTATCTTCATCGTAATCTGTGGAACCGCTATGATGTCGCTTGGATTTGATTTTTTTAACTTTCTTTCGCGAATCGGATGTCGAACTAGAAGACGAATCTTCGCTGCTAGAACTGCTACTACTACTAGATGTACTTGAAGTACGAGAACTAGAGGAAGAAGTCATTGCCTTTTTCTTCTGTCTCACTTTGTCTTTCCCATGGACTTCCTTATCTTTCTTCATTTGTAATTCCAGTTCACGTTGCAACAGCTGTCTACGCCTTTCCAACACTTTCTCGTCCTCGTACTCCAAATCTGTCTGATTCCACTCTTCTAGATTTAAATCTGGACTGTGTGATGCCTTTTTTACGATCTTAGAAGTAAGCCTTTTAAACGGATCCTCAATAAGCTACATATTGATAAATATATATGTAAATGTCTATCTCCAGTAGAAATAATAATACATTTTTAACACTTAGATGATAGGTAAGTGATAATCTGCTTTGACATGAACAGAGTAAGATATTTGTTTACTTTGTCTTATGTCAATCGAATATGATTATGAACTTGTATTATAATTAATATTGACTGACTGTGCATGAAATACCGATTAGGAGTTTTTATTTTTCTTGTGAGACTTGTATAAACAAGTATTGCCAGATCCATTTGAAGTATGATTTCATGTATCTTTTCAAGAATATAACATTTCTGTAGCATGTATTTTTACATGACCTGTCATCTAAATGTTAATGTTTGGTAGGAATACTCTAGCGTGAATTTATAATAATGTAGTCAAAGCATTATAGACTTACTCCTGTAGTAGTCGCAATAGCATTATCCTTCTTGGCACGTTTTGATGGACTTATCAATGTGTGAGTGTTTGCATATCTAGATTGAATATCAAAAAAAGAAAGAATTAATTAAATTGAATAAGCAATGCTACTCTTAAATAATTAGTATATTTTCTAATACAAAAGCTCAGTAAAGTACATGTAACAATCACCTATGTAACTGTTGTTAATATGGGAACAAATGTATACTAACTTGCAATTCTTTCCGTACGAACAATTGCCGTTCAATGCCCAGTTTCTGCAATAGTCCGATGAATTTTGGCCGGCAGTAACTGCTGGTTTGGTCCCCAACCTCTCAAACACACTTGGTCGACGAGAGTCTGTATTACATTTCGTAGGGTCAACCGTTATTTTCCTTATGCTTGATTTTGACATATTATCACCATAAAACAATTATGTTTTTACAATGGAAGCACATAACTGCAGCATACAAATAATCATTTGTTATGGAACCACCATTAATAAGTCAAGTGTTCGCAATTGTAAGGAGTCTCCAAAAAAATCGATGAACTATTTAAGAACTAAGAAAACACAAGTTGCTGGTTAAGTTTCATGTGATTGTTTATATTCCACACGGCACAAGGTTTTTATTTTGATATTTATAGGTATTCTGGTTATCCTTAGAGTCCTAACCCCTGACACGTCCTACCAGGAGGGAAGGGGGGTCCAAGCTCACGTACCACTGTAGCTTACGGCGCATGCGCGTGTATATATGCGTAGAGCGGCGCGGGAACTGGCGGGTAGTTTAAAATAATTTAAATGACTTTAAAAAAAGATTTCTGTCAGTTCAAAGATTACATTCTTTTTGATAACGAAAATCGCTTGAAATGCGTCTGACCTTTCAGTAGTTTATTCTTTGAAAGATATAATTGTATATTATTAATAGAAACCGTAGTTCGATATAATAATAACGATTGAAATGCATATATGCATTTTGAAGCTATAGTTTCAAAAAGTATGGAAAGTATTATTATTATTAACTGGAAATTTTGGCAATACGCTGTACATATGTATATAGCGATTAACGTGAAAATAATTTCAAATTATTATTATGATAAGTAACAGCAATATTATAATGATATTATAGATATGTAACATTAGATAACATATGATAACATTAGATAACATGTATAACATTAAAGATATACAACATTATAGATACATCTATTAATACGAAGATTGCATTCACATTTTAACAACATGTAATGTTAAACAACTGTTTAATTCCACTACTAAACTTATACTTAGAAAGTATTAAAATTGAAAGCATACAACGATCGTCTAAATATATTTATATATTTATAAATAAGAAAAATGTTAAATTACAAAGAAATGCATCTCTTCTTCGCGCAATTTCAATAACATCCTCCTGTTCAGTTTCTGTCGCATAGAAATAACGAGTCAATTTAACGAGCAAATAATTTGGAATCGTTCTAAATCATTCATAAATTGATTATTAAAACTATAATAATTGATCATTTTCAGCCAACAGCCGTGCATAAACAAAGAGTCAAGAGATCCTCAAAACTCGTACCAAAAATAAATAGCGTAACACTTCGATTCGAGAATGATGACTGACATTCAGTTTGTTGGATATTTAAATATGATCCATTACGTTAAAACGATTTCAGATTATCGTTCCTTGTTAACGCGGCAAACACGGGATATCGTGTTTCGCGGTATAATTACATTTGTAATTGCGTGCACCCGAGTTTTCTGTAAGCAACGTGCTCCTGAAACGTCTGTTCGGGGGCCCCCCTCTTCTCTTCTTTCGTTCCCTTCCATCATGAGCACCAACTCGACACGGTACTCTGTATCGCGGACAACAACGTTCGCTAAGTTCTACAATTGCAACTCATGGCACACGCGACAGTCGGTTCCTCCGTCGAGACAAATAAGCACGATAAAAAAAGTACACGCGAAAATGTCGCCTGTGAAACAACGGAGAACACCACACCGGATACCATGCAACAACCCTTACCACCGGACGGAGGATGGGGCTACGTTGTTGTTCTTGCATCCTTCTTGATCCACGTAATTAGTACGTAATCAACTATTTTCTCGTCACGTTACATTCGATAACGATCGACGATCCACGACGCGACTGTTTAACCAATACTTGTCATTTTAAATTCATTGCGAAGAGCGTGCAAGTATTTGTTAAATTTAGCGCTTCGAATCGAAGGGGTATTTTAATATTTTTAGTTGGACTTGATCTCTGAATTTTAGATATCGGAGAAAATTGAAGGCGTCTATGCGTTTCGATCTTGGTTCTACGATTTTTTATATAAATTCGTGTACTGGATAAAATTGTACGTTAATTTGTGGGAGGTAAGAATGCTGTGAAACTTTATTTTCAGAAGTACGCTTAGCGAGTTAATGTAGTGTTAATTTCTTGTTTCACGCTTGAATATAAGTAGAGAGAAAATTGGAGAAGCAACGATGGGATACATATTTAAATGGATATATGTAACGAAGAATATAATGTAACGTTATACACTCACAATTTGCAATTTATTTAATAACGAATTAATCGAAGAAGTCCAAGAAACGAGGTCGAAACGAATTTAAATGAATATATGTAACGAAGAATATGATATAATATCGTACACTTTTGCAATTTATTTAATAACGAATTAATTAAAGAAGTCCAAGAAACGAGGTCGAAACGAATTTAAATGAATATACTATTCAGGCTATCACTTATTATTTGTTTCCACAAACAAAAGTGTGCGTTTCTCTTTCGAATCGTCACGTGCCACAGGTTTTTTTTTTTTTTTTACCTTCGTAACATTCGTTTCAGCGAAAGGAGGTTTCCGTTGTCAGCATTAATTGCGAATCGTTGCGTTGTTTTTAAATTCGATTCAGATTATTAGCAGTCGTTTATAACACGGTATACGCGCTTAAAAATTTATAAACATTCGTAATTGCAGGTCTCCTCCAAGGAAAATGTTTATCGTACGATTGCCTTTCCATTTCAATCCCGTACCGAACGTGCTAATCGAATAAATGATATCTTTGGTCATTGCGTTACACAGCGCGCGTAAAACGCCACGCGATATGACGTTAATAAACACTAAAACGTCTGGGGAAGCTGGACAGATTTTGCGATCGACACCGCGACCGGAGATAGTTTGATCCTTTCGTGAATGGATCGATATCTACTTCAAAGTTGAGTCACGGAGGAATACCGAAAGGGAACATCGCTGTTTAATTGCTTAAAAATGCTAATTTTTTTAGAATACGGTTTTGTTTTACGCATCATCGACTGCTTGATCATTGGGGATCAAGTGCTGTTATAAGATCGTGTCCTTTGTATATCGCAGCTTTGTATTTAGACTGCTATTCTTGCGATGTTAGTAACATCGTTGGTGAAAAAAAAAAAAAATATACACGTCAAATTGAGTAATCTCTTCCTTTTCGAAGTCGGTTAAAAAGGTGCCAAAGTGTGCCGTTTTCTTTGTGCATTAATCGGAAGTTAATATGTCTTTAAAGTACGTTAACGGGTAAACTATTTAGCCGTTGAAGAAGTAAAATTCTACAGGTCCTTTTGGAGAACCTTTTGCTTTATTAAAGCTCTTTATCTAAAGTTTCCGAGTTTTCAATTGATAGTAACAACAGACGAGCCGTGTGCAAAATTCTAGAGGTCCTTTTCTTAACCGACTTCGAAACGGAGGAACTTGCTCGGTTCGAGATGTATATTTTATTTTTTATTTTTAGGAGAACCCTTTGACTAAACCCTTTACTAAATCTGTCTACCTAAAGTTTCCGAATCTTCAATCATAGTAACAACAGACGACCCGTGTGCAAAATTCTACAGCTTCTTTCGGAGAACCCTTTGCTTAACTAAATCTGCCTACCTAGAGTTTCCAAGTTTTCAATCATAGCAAAGACGATCCGTGTTTCCTCGCGTGGAAGCGCATCGTCGTTGTTTCGATCGAACAAAGCGCGAATCAAGCTCGAGCGAAGTCTTCCAGCTTTTTCAAACTTTCTATCTCGCATCTGACGAACGAGGAAGGAGGAAGTGAACGATTCACGAGATCTGCGACACGCTTTCTTCGAACTCATGCACAGATTCGCGACACGCGTTCGACTTTAGTCGATCGACTTTCCGTTCGGGGAACGTACCGTTAATCGAATACGGAAATTAAGAAACATGGATCGCGTCGCATACAGAAGAGAAAAAATGACATTTATCAATGCGTAATCGTTCGTTAAACATGACCGACCTTGCGCAAGCACGCGTCGACGCACGTGAAAATTCCCTCTTCTTCCTCGACCTTGCGAAACCATAAGTATCTCTCATCAAATTTTTGCAGAAAGATCATTTTTCTCCCCTGCGGTAATTTACATTCGATTCTCTCTTCGTGGAGTAAACTTAGAGTTTACACTTTTTATGTTCATGCTGAAGAAATGATTTCCAATTAAGTCGAGATGATACGTTTCGTTTCTGCTGTTTTTTCATTTTCTTATCTACAGAATTAAAATAAATTCAACTCGAACTACTACTCTTGTTACATGGCCGTCCATAATATTTTCTCGAGTCTTATCGTGAAACCGTTTTGCATATCGAAACTGCAGGACAACAACCATTCAGGATCTACTTGGAGGAATCTTTCAGCTTTCTTATCGCCATGAAAACAGTACTACTAGTAACAGTAATACAAATCAATGTTGCGCTCTTTCTAAACAATTCTAGTAAAGACACTCTAAAAAGACTCTTTCTTCTACTTCTTCTTCTAGTTCTTTCTCTACTGTTCTTTCTTATATATTAAATCTTTCAGGTTTCTCATCGCCATTAAAACAGTACTAGTAGTAACAGTAATAAAAATCAATGTTGCGCTCTTTCTAAACAATTCTAGTAAAGACACTCTAAAAAGACTCTATAAAGATAACGTTAGTGATTAAATCGTCATCCTCGATTATTATTGTTCGATTATTACATCCTGCCACTTACGCATGCAAATGTTATACACACGCAAGCACGCGCGAAAGATTTGATTACGCACGACAGTGGTTCAGTGATATGTAAAATCGGAGCATGATAGGGAAAGCATACTTTGTACCGCTCGCAAGTTGTGTTTTCCTTATTTTAGGGAAGAATTCTAACAAGCATTATTTGCTTATGAAATATTGCTCGATACGAAACATTACTTAATCCGCTTCATACAGGGTGTCCCAATAATTGTGTTACACGCGGAAAAGATGCGATTGTACGTATAAAAATTAATTAAAAATATAAAATGAAATTCCGTTTGTATGATTGGAATGTTTAGAAGTCGCGCAACGGTTTTCAGTATGAGCTATGTTTGATTAGAGTAGAGCTTATAAATAGTATTATTCTATATCGACGCGTGAGTAGATTTCGTGTACACTATTTTCACCAACGTTGTTGATCGTTGCAACAACAGTTTATGAAGATAAAAACAATAAGCGCAACGACCTTGCGCGATTTGATAAATAGGCACAGACAGTAAGGAAACGCGAGATAGACTTTAGTAATTTCCAGTAATCAACTACATTAAAGTTTCGTGTTTTATGCGACTTTTATCGTTAATTCTATTGCAAATTAATTTACATTAATTGAATCGTTAATTATCCGCGCGACTTGCTCTTCCCCGGTACTAATTTTGTATATGGCGCTGTGTTCACCTCTTTAAACACGCTATCAACATTTATTTTACATTTATTTTACATAAAATTTGCTCCAAATTTGTTGTACACAAACTTTGGAAATCAAGTCTATCTTGTTCCTTAAATAATCGCGACTCAAGTACGTAAAATGTATAAATCACCTATTAGTTGTTCGCGTTTCACATATTTTCGTTGTATACCGCGACGATATATTTTACAAATACCTGATTGATAAGGAAGTCGATGTAAACGTTACAAAAACCGATTCTAATGTTTTCAGTAACAGAGATAACGCAACTATAATTAGCCGACGAGTCTTTCGAAACATTGGACAGAGAAGTAATTACAGGAAATCTTTCATGCAACTGTTATTCATTGATAAATTTACTTGTACCAATCGTTAATTATTTATCCATGGAGAATAAAACGTCGGAGGAATATTTTTGTGCGAATTCGATGTAAAATACGTCCGATATATTCCTGCGACTCTATGTCTCTTTACGTACAAATTGTTGCCACGATAACATTTTAAACAATATTGTTAAGAATTATCATACAAAATGTACGATTTAGTTATACAGGGTGCCAGGGTGTGACACTACTAAAAAATTTTGTTTTCGAACCTTCTTTTTATTCCAATGTATAGCCAGTCGAAAAATCGTAAAAAGTGTTACGTGGGACAACCTGTATACTTCAATTTAAATAACTAAATATACTATAATATATTTTTGTTTACATCGATTCTCCTTGTTTTATACACATATTTATATGTTTATATTTATATTATTATTTATATTGTATTATATTATATTTATATTATTATGGTTCTCCTTGTTTTATACACATATTTATACGTTTGTATTTATATAATATTATTATTTATAATATTCTTTCAGCTGATGGGGTGACTTATTCCTTTGGAGTATTTTACTTAGAGTTTTTGTACTATTTCGAAGGAGGAAAAGGCGCGACAGCGTGGATTGCGTCGATATTAGTGGGTGTCACTTTATGCTCAGGTAATTTCTTCTTCGCTACGTCTTTGACGATATTCCAAAAACCTACAAAAAGAAAAAGAACAATAATAGAAAAAGAAATGCTTTGCAGGTCCGATATCGGGCTCGTTTGTAAATAAATACGGATGTCGAGCGGTAACAATAGCTGGTTCTATACTGGCGAGCGCCTGTTTGCTGGCTAGCATGTGGGCTCAACACGTTATCACCCTCTACTTCACTATTGGTCTTGGAACAGGTGAAGTGAAGAACATCTTCTCTGTACGCATATATTTAACAGTTTAACTGCTGGTATATTTATAAATAATTCACAATTTAGAAAGATTAGATTTTAAACATTAAGTTTTCTACATTAGTGTATTAGTCTAGGCTGATATGTGCTACATACTGTTACTAGGTATATGAAAAGTTTTGTCTGTTTTCTCAAATTGAGCATTGCAAGTAGGCAACTAACAGCACAGTTAGTAGATTCCTGTGCTTAGATATCAGAATGAGAAAACCTATAAATATGCTCCCAGCAGATAAATTGTTTTAAAGACATGCACAATGATTTTAATAACTGGATCCAGTCATGTCTACTTTTTGGCAACTTCTGAAAGGAAGTGATGAAGTAAAATTATTGAATAGATCAAGGAGGTGTAACAGCCTCCTTTTTTAAATAGAATTATAATTTTTGCAACCTGATTGCTAACTTCAATTTAGACCATCAATGAATTAAAAAATACAGATATATATCAAGTACAATAAGTTAACGACATAAATAGTAATAGTAACGAAACATTGAGGTACATAATGCAAATTGATAATGAAACTATTCTATATAATTATTCTATATAATTATAAAATCTTCATACAACTTCATACTCTTAAATACAGCTTAAATATAATTATTCTATATAATTATAAAATCTTCATACAACTTCACACTCTTAAATACAGTCAGCTAAATGTTAAGCAATTAATACAGAAGAATCGTTTTACAGGCTTAGGTTTCGGCTTGATCTACTTGCCCGCGATCGTAAGCGTTACCTGTTACTTTGATAAGTATCGTTCCCTTGCAACGGGAATTGCAGTATGCGGTTCTGGCTTAGGTACCTTAGTATTTGCCCCGTGTCTAGAATACCTGATAGCGAGGTACGGATGGCGAGGGGCGCTTATGATCTGTTCTGGGATCGTTTTGAATTGTATCGTTCTCGGAGCGCTTTTCAGGCCCATCGAGGTGGACAAATCGCAACAGAGAAGTTCTCCAGAGGTACAAGATTCTTGTATGTATTATCATTAGAAGCATAATAATGTAGAGAACATTTTCGTACAGACAGTATTATAAAATGTAAGGTAAATATGAGAAAAACAGGTGGCTTGATTGATCAAAGTCTGTAAATGGTTTAAATTTCAGTTTTTAAACTTGATCCATACATCAGTAATTACATACAATTATTTCCATTCTTTTTAACATAACTCTCACATTATTTTAATACTGTTTGCAGACCACAGTTTGAAAAACGTTAATTTCGAGTATACATTAATTACAATACTTTTTTTTGTATATTCAGTTCAAAAGTATCGTTTTTTCTTATAACTTTTAATTTTCAGAAATCCTTGAAAGATACGAATACAAAATGTCCCCAAGAAGACGATACAAAAGTATATACAGTTAGTTTTCGAAGGATGAGCAATAATGCCGGTATAACGACAATTAGCCAACCCAATTTAATTTCAAAAGATACGTTACATCAAGAAAGTTTAGAGAATACCCAAAAAGAGATGTTGGTATTTTCTTCTTCTTCTTTTTTTTTTTTTTTTTTTAATGCATTTCTTAATGTTAATTTGTCTTCTTTCTTGATATTTATACGGTCGAATACTTTTAAACATTAAAAACATACATAAATCTCATATTAACTATATGTTAATATATTATCTATAGATATGGACGTTAATGTATACAAATTTAACATTAAAAAATGGATGAACATGAATATGTTTACGCGAAAAAACGATTAAACGATGTTTTCACTTATTTACAGACCGATTTTAATACAAAGGCATAACGAAGAAATGGTTTATATACAATCTTTAAAAACTGAACCTTGTGGTGTAGAATGTTCAAACTCGGATAGTAAAAAGTTTAAAGCCTACTGCAAAAACAAAATAGGTCATCTCAAAGACACTATGGATCTTTCGATATTAAAAGACCCAGTATTTATTTTATTTACATTTTCCAATTTTTGCACCAGTATTGGATTTTATGTGCCATATGTATATGTCATGGTACGCATACAGATAGCATTTT